TTCATGTTGTGACAGCTACGAGGTGCAAACCATGGGGGTGGAAACTACGCGTTGCATTTTATGTTGTGTATTCCGTGCCGTATAAGTTATGCGGTGTGGTTTGGAGGTCCCAGCAATGTGTTCTCAGTTTTGGTGGAACCTACGTGGTGAATTCTGCGTGGTGGAAGCTATGTGGTGTAAGCCCACGGAGCGCCCTCGAAGCGGCGCGGGTGCAACGAGGCGCAACTTCGACGCGCCCCCGAAAAAACGGCGGGGCTCCCACGAGGCGCCCGCGAGGCGGCACGGGCGGCAGCGCGGCGCTACTTCGACATGCGCCCCTAGCGCGGGGGGCCCACGAAGCGCCACCGAGGCGGCAAAGGGCGGCAACGTGGCGAAAACCCAATACGCGCACACCCACGCACGCACGCACACGCACACAAACACACACACACACACGCATACACACATACACACACACGCACACGCACACGCACACGCACACGCACACACACGCACACATTCGCACGCATACACACGCACACGCACACGCACACACACGCACACCCACACGCACACGCACAGCACACGCACACGCACGCGCACGCGCACGCGCACACGCACGCGCACACGCTCACGCACACGCACACGCACGCGCACTCGCACGCGCACGCGCACGCGCACGCACACGCACACGCACACGCACACGCGCGCGTACACGCACACGCACACGCACACGCACACGCACACGCGCACACGCGCACACGCGCACACGCGCCCGCGCGCACGCGCGCACACGCGCACACGGGCACACGCACACACGCACACGCTTCGCACGCGCGCACGCGCGCACGCGCGCACACGCGCACACGCGCACACGCGCGCACGCGCACACGCGCACACACGCACACACGCGCACAGCACACGCGCACACGCGCGCACACCACACTCGCACACGCGCGGACACGCGCACACCCGCACACGCGCACACACACGCACACACGCGCACGCGCACACGCGCACGCGCGCACGCGCACACGCGCACGCGCGCACACGCGCACACGCGCACACGCGCACACGCGCACACGCGCACACACGCACACGCGCACACGCACGCACGCGCGTAAACGCGCACACGCGCGGACACGCGCACGCGCGCACGCGCGCACACGCGCGCACGCGCACACGCACGCACGCGCGCAAACGCGCACACGCGCACACGCGCGCACACGCGCGCACACGCGCACAGCGCACATGCGCACACGCGCACACGCGAACACGCCCACAGGCGCACACGCGCGGACAAGCGCACGCGTACGGACACGCGCACACGCACGCACGCGCACACGCGCGCACACGCGCACACGCGCACACGCGCACACGCGCACATGCTCACACGCTCACACGCGCACGCGCGCACGCGCGCACGCGCGAACGCGGACGCGCGCACGCGCGCACACGCGCACACGCGCACACGCGCACATGAGCACACGCGCACACGCGCACACGCGCGCACGCGCACACGCGCACACGCGCACACGCACGCACGCGCACACGCGCACGCGCGCAAACACGAACGCGCACACGCGCACGCGCACGCGCACGCGCACGCGCACACGCACACACACACGCACACGCGCACGCGCGCATACACGCATGCGCACGCGCGCACGCGCACGCGCGCGCGCACACGCACACGCACACGCACACGCACGCGCGCACACACACGCACACGCACACGCACACGCGCACGCGCACGCGCACGCGCACGCGCACGTGCACGTGCACACGCACACGCACACGCGCACGCGCACGCGCACGCGCAGATGCACACGCAGACCAGACACACACAGATATACACACAAACACACACACAGACACACACACAGACACACACACATACTCACGTAGACACACAGAGACACACACAGAACAACACACACACACAGAGACACACAAATTCACACACAGGGGCACGCACAGCGACACACACTGAGACACACACAGAGACACACAGCGACACACAGAAATACACACAGAGACACACACAGCGCGACACACAGAGACACACACACAGAGACGCACACACACACACACACAAAAACACACAGCGACACACACAGAGACACACAGAGCGACACACACAGAGACACACAGCGAGACACACACAGGCACACACACAGAGCCACACACAAAACACACACAGACACACAGCGGCACACACAGCGACACACACAGAGGGACACACAGAGACACACAGAGACAACCAGAGACACACATACACACAGAGACACACACAGAGCGACACACACGGAACGACACACACGGAGATACAAACACAGAGAGACACACAGAGAGACACACACAGAGACACACACGGACGCACACAGAGACACACACACAGCCACACACACAGAGCGTCACACACAGAGAGACACACACAGAGACACACAGAGTTTCACACAGAGAGACACGCAGAGACAGGGACACACACACACACACAGAGACACACACACACACACACGGAGACACACACAAACAGACACACAGGCAGACACACAGACAGAGACACACACACAAACAAACACGACAGACACACAGACAGACACAACCAGACAGACACGCGCAGACAGACACGCACACAGACAGCCACACACAGCCAGGCACACAGACACAGACACTCAGACGCACGGACACGCACGCAGACACACAGACACACAGACACACTGACACACAGACACACAGACACGCAGACACGCAGACACACAGACACACAGACACGCAGACGCGCAGACATAGCCACACAGGCACACAGACACATACGCACAGAGACACAGACACACAGACACACACGCACAGAGACACGCAGGCACGTTGACACGTACACACGCAGACATTCAGACACACAGACACACAGACACACAAACACAGTTACACAGAGACGCAGACACACAGAGACACAGACACACAGACACAGAGCCACGCAGACACACAGCCACACAGAGACACAGACACCCAGCGACACAGGCACGTACACATACACATACACATACACACAAAAACACACACACACACACATAGACACACACACACACACACACACGCCATGCGCGGGGCGCCCAGCAGACGCCCACAAGGCCGCACGGGCCCGCAGCGCGGCGAAAGCCCCACGCCCCCACACAGTTCCTGAACAAAAAACACTCGGAACCCTTGAGTGCAAGCACTGTTTGGGGAGACAAGACCTTTCGGCGCTCCGCGCGGAATTTTTCCGATCTGCGCTGGGCCCCCCCTGGCGGGGCCTCCGGCGCCGCCCCTGGCGCGCGCTCCACGCGCCAGGGAGGGGGGCTCCAGCGCCGATCCAGGAATCCCGCGCGGACCTCCGACAGTGTATATTTCAGAGCGTGAATTACCACGCGCCTCCTCGTCAAGCGGCCTGACCAGTACAGGCTGCAATTTGGCATCGTTTGGTATCTCTTGGAAGCGAGGGTGGTCAAAAGCGAGGTGGGTTTGTTTTCCCCGTAATATTTCCGCGGTTTCCTCGGCCATCTGGACGCTGTGGCGTGTCGGGGCCTCCCAGGAATGCCGAGGGGTCCCGCCGCGAACGGCACCGTGGGCCGCGGCGCGGCTCCCGGCCTCGCCGCGCCTTCTTCCGCGCCGGCGTCCTGTGCCCGCGCTGGGTGTGCCGGGCAGCGGCGCAGAGCCGGCCCGCCCTCTTGCTGCACACTGCGGCCGCGTGTCGCGTGCACGGGCCGAGCTGGAGCCAGAATCCTGCAGCGGCACCGCAACGGGTACTTACTAACGGGTGCTTTGCAATTTTGCCGAAAGTTGCCACTTTAGGGCCTCTTTCTGGCAATGCAGCGTTGCCCGCATCGGGAAGGGTTGGGTTCGCAGGGTCACTGGCCAAAGTACCCGTTAGTGGAGTCCCCGTTTGAGGGGCGTTGAATCCTACATGTCGGCCACCCAGGGCGTCAAGGCCAAAGTGCTGGAACTCGAGGCTCGCCTTCCCGCCGTCGCAACGGAACACGGCCTGGAGCGTATCTTTCAGGCGGTCAGTGGCGACATAGACGCTATGATCCAGGAGCGTGATGATTGCTTGGCTAAGGTTGCAGCGATGGCAAAACAAATATCCTCTTCCCCGTCCCTCCCCTTCGCCATTTTCCCTGTCTCTTCCTTTCCTTCGTCTCCGGCAGTCGCAGCAGAGCTCCACAAGCATGTTTCCTCACCCTCGTCTTCCTCATCCCCCGTGTCGTCATCATCGTGTCTCCCGTGCCCAGCACGAGATGGGGCACTATTGAATGGCGCGACGGGCTGGGGAAGGCGAGCGGCGCGGGCTTGGGGGAAAGACAGGGCAGTGGCATGGGAGGGGCGCGAGAGGGAGAGGGAGCTTCTATTCCGTGGGGCACGCTCGGAAATGCGCTCCTCCCTCTTCTCTCTCCCCTCCATCTCCCCTCTTCCCTCCTGGAGCGAAAGGGAATATCTCCGACATAGGGCTGACTTTGAGGGATCTGTCCTCCGCCTTCCCCATCTGTCCTCCTTCTTCTCCCCATGCTCCTGCTCCTCCTCCTCCTCGTCTTGGCGTGAGAAGGCTGCACGACCGCACTGGAGAGGCTTTCCACAGCTTGCCCGCAGCATCCGCTTTAGCGCCGCCTTTGGCCCCAAGTCCCCAAGCGTAAGCCATCTCGATCGCTGCATCCGATGTGGTATCGATACCTCGCGGCTCGATCCGATGTGGTCTCGAGTTTCGGCCCAGTGCTTGCATGGCTTAGTTGTATATCCCGGCGCGGCCGATTCGATCCGAGTACGATTTCGGGCCGATGCAGCCAGATCCGATGCACGCTCGGATCCGATTCGATTCAGCGATTCGACGTTGATTGCGCCGACGAGTGCCGTCTTTCGTACCCTTCGCCCCCCATTGCTCGTCAATCATTGAAGGGAGATGGTGGAAAGCAAGCGTCCGCGTGGAGGCAGAGGCAGCTCGTCAAGCATATGATATCCCACTCGCGCGTCAAAAAAGGAGGGGCCAGGCAATAATGGGCAATGCCTGCTGCGTCAAGAGTCGGAGCAAGCAGGGCGCCCTCCTTGCCAAGGACGGCGGCACCGTTGATGCGGACGAGCCGGTGGGTGACAAGACGCAGGCATTGGGCGGGGCGTGGTGGAAGCGGGTGGCGTGGCCATGCAGTCGCGGCCACATCTCAGCGTGCGATGCGGAGCCGCCGGCCCGCTTGTTGCGCGCTGGATATAGCGTGCGCCGAGGAAGCCATGGCAGGGGGACGGTGTGCACCGACGGGGCCCCCGCAGGGGATGTCGTGCGCGGGAAGGGTCCTCACGCGGGGACCGCCCCACAGGCCCGCAGGGATACAGTCGGGGCCCTGGAGAGGGAACCCTTTTCGTTGGGGAGGGGCTTGGTGCTCCTTGATTGTTTCACAGCTTGCCTTAGGTTTTTCCTTAGGCTTTCGATATGTAATCGAAGTTTAACTTATGGAAAATGGGGGCCTCGCTGCTTATTTAGGGTTCCTTAGGTCAGCGCCCCGACTGTAGCGCGCTTTTCGAAGATCGATGTGGCACGCTATCTTTGCAGCGCCAACCGGATGGTATGCGCAAGACCCGCGGCCGAGGAAGCACACCGGCTGTCGTTTGTGTTTGGCTGCGGGCATGTGTGTTTTCTTGTTGGCATGTGATCCTGACTGCGTGATGCACTACTGGAGGCATAGCACAGCCTGCGTGCGCTGCTGATATAACCACGCCCTTAAGCGTCGAGTTGTACGGAACGCCCGTGTCTGCGCGACCCAACATGTTCGGTTGGCGCACGCAACGGTACTATGTTGCCGCTCCTACAAGAATCAGGGTAGAAACGGGGTGGGCGTGCACACAGTGCCGGCGCAACGTTTCGGCGTGCGTCGTCTTGGTTGACATCATCTAGGCCTCTTATGGGGTCCGAGTAGTGGGGTCGGAGTAGATGGAGTCGGAGAGTCGCGCCGCATCGCCGATGCCTCGGCGATGCGGCTCTCTCCTCGCCCCACGCCAGCGTCGCCGATGCATCGCCGGCATCGCCGATGCATCGGTGATACATTCGGGATGTGGCGCGATCCTCTGACCCCATCTACTCGGACCCCCTTTCGGAGGCCTCTGCGTGATGGGTTGTGTTCGTTGAGCTTTTGAAACGACACCCACCCCCGGAAGCTGGCTGGCAAGCTCTGGCGGGTCCCACTGGAAGCATGCGCTTCCTCTGTGGGGTGGCAAGCAGCACTCTGCCTTCGTCGCAGTGGTTCGGCAATGCGTGACCAGCGGCACGTCAATCAGCACATTCGCGAATTCGAACATTGACGAGCCTTGCGTGTAGGTGCTTGATCTACCTTGCACTCAATGAAGAGTCTCGCCTGTGATGCTTTACGATGGTATGCTGGCAGCAGGGGCTTGGTCCATGGTTCATGGATGGCATGATTCGAGTTTCATCAGATCTCGCTTCCCAGTTGGACCAGAATGAGTCGCAACAAATTGGGCCACAGCCTTAAGACAGCGTGGGCGAAGATACATGCAGTCATCCTCGCATTGCTGTAATCGGCAAGTCTCTTCAGGAAGTGCTGAGTGTAGTGATACCCTTCGGCTCTCTTTGGGGCTTCTTGGACGGTCTTGGGGACGTCCTGAAGCTCTCTCGCGCCGTCTTGGGGCCTTCTTGGGTTTCCTGGGAGCTCTCTTGGGCCGTCAGGTGCCTCCCGAGACCGTCTTGGGTTTTCGTTGGGGACCTTTTGGGCCATCTTGAGCCCTCCAGGAGCCCTCTTAGGACGTCTTGGGGCCGTCTTGGGCCCGCCTGTGCAGTATTGTGGCTCTCTTGAGGCCCTCTTCGGGCTCTTGTGGCCCTTGGGGCGATATTCGCGACCTGGTCGGCCATCCAGGGCGTTTTTCAGCCACTCCATGCGAGCACGCAGCATCGCCCAAGCCAATGTATGCTGCCCGAGGCTTGCTTGTTGGGCGTTATTGGAGGACCATATTGGCAGACGCCTCGGAGCGTGCTCTCGCTTAATGCTGGCCACATTCTTGGCTCGGACTGGCATTTCCGCCGTAGGTAAGGTTGCACTTCTGCTTCGGAATGGTGCCCTCGTCTTAGCTTCAGCCGCATCAGCCACATTCCTGCGTATTAGCCGTTAGGCTGCCTCAGCGTTGGTCACATTCCTGCCTTAGAATATCGTTCTCGTCTGATTGCCCTACGTAAGTGAGCTGTAAGGGTTATCTCCCTGGCCACGCTCCTTCGACGGAGTGCTAGCAGCTAGCAACAGTTTCAACAGCAGTACCAGCACCAGTAGCAGCATTGGTAGCATGACCATGGGCAGGTAGCACCAGCACTATCAGTGGAAGAACGACTGATAAAAGGTGTATGCAGCTTAGTAGCAGATGCAGCAGTAGCAGCAGCGGTGCCAGACATAGCAGCAACAGAAGCGGCGCAGTGCTGTCGGGACCGATGAGTGGGTCATTTATGCGCATCAAGGGCACCTTTCTACATACTGTGTACCCTGTTGTGTTCGTGTCATGCTTCCCTTGGGAAAAACCTGCGTCCTCTCGGTTGTCCCCTGTCTTCGGTCGCGATGGCAGCAGTAACAGCAGGCGCACCATCATATCGGCCAACATCAATTAAACAACAACAGCAGTCACATCAGCAGCAGCAGCAGCAAGCAGAAGCCGCAGCAGTTGGCAGCAACTTGCAGCAGGAGAGGTCTGCAGCAGCACAACAGGTAGCTGCAAACGAGGCATCGGCAGTACAGTAGTATGTAGCAGCAGGCACTACATTTGTCGGTCGGCATAGGAGAAGCAACAGGTACAGGAGCAGCACCTGCAGCAGCAATAGCAGCAGTAGCGTCAATTTCGATCCGATCCGATTCTATATCGACGTCTGCCGTCTCGATCCGTTTCGTGTTCGATTTTCCAGAGATCCGATGCAGCCCGATGCTTGCACGGTGCTGTTGTTCATCTTGGCGCAGCCGATCCGATTCCAATTCGACTCCGTGCCGACGCAGCCCGCTTAGACACACATTCTGGTTCGATCCGATTTGCCGATTCAATGCAGACGGATCTTCTGGCAGAAGCATCAGTAGCAATGGCACCAGTAGCAGCAGCAGCAGCAGCACGATCAGAAGTAGTAGCGGCAGTAGTATCAGCAGCATTGATAAGCTAAGTAGCAGGAGTAATGGCAGCGGCATCGCGTGGCCACCAATTTGGGGTCACTGCTCCAGCATCATTGAAACATCTAGTTTGAATGTTTTGCCGTGTGTCCGCGTTGACGCTCTATAGATCTGGGCTCACAGTCTGCTAGTGACGTTGCCACAGTTCCATCCCATACGTAGCAGTCTTTCTGTGTCGGTCGGTCAGATTACAAAGCCACAGGTGGAGACCGAGAAGAGCGCTGGCGCTTCTGGGCAGAAGCCGGTCTTGCGTGACGGGAGTGCTGTGGGAGTTGCGCGTGTCACGGGTGTGAGCATGGTTGCATTTTCCAATTGTGATGTTGAGGATTGGCCAGGGCAAGAGGGAATCTATCGTTGAGGGGGTTTATTCGGTGGGAAGGTCCTTGGCCCTTGGCGTGGTTTCCGGTCCAGAGTAAATCGCGGACAGGGAAGATGTTGGATGGCAGGATGGAGGTGATATTGAAGAGGAGGCGAGGGGAGAGTAGGAACATGATGAGGATCATGATGAACAGTTTCTTTGAATGGGATCGATGTTGAGCAGCTCTGCCCGAGTCTTAGAGTCGTGGATGTTGACCACCTGGTAACAATTCTTGCCACATGCACTTGAGCGGAACAACCGACGCGCAGAAAACAGAGCCCAAGACATTGAGCAGTCTATACAGATCGCCTAGAGGATCATGTACACATTGGTTTTCGAAGGATCCCCAAAGAGGATACTGGCCTTCCTGAGCTGATGCCAACAAGCCACCTGCTCCTCTTCCTGGTCGTCCCTGCGTTTTCATTATATATAGCTCCTCGCATCACACGTGTCGATATGCAGGTCAGGCGTTTCTCTCGGGACTTATGTGCCATTGAAGACTTGACGTGTTGCTATCTCCCGTTTCCAATAGATTCGAGGATGGAGGGCGGATCCTTTTCAAAATAGTGCTCTCGCCGTAGCGTCTCGCGCATTCGTCTTGGAGCTATTCTGACGCACCAGGGGCCCATCGGAAACGTGAAGACGAGTTCCTAAAATGTCGAAACATTCCGGTGTTGAGGAGATCGGCCTGATTGGGCGCGCCCTTCGGAGGCTTTGTTTTCACTTGGGCCTGTCTCTGGGGACCCGTTACCGTGCAGCAGCTCTTCTGGAGCCGTCGTGGAGTGCAGATTGCGCATCTTGGTTCTTGGCAGCCGCGCCAGGTGCTCAGACCCCCATCGCGTTGTGAAGACATCGCGAATGAGGGTGTTTAGTTACCAGTATCTCCTGATTCTGGGGGCCCTCGGCGGCCCCCGGGGTTGTTAACAATATACTCAGCATGAAAATCGGCGTCGAGCCTGGGTGGGGCAGTGAGAAGGCAATGGCCAAGTTAGGCTCGGAAGTCTCCTGGCCTTCTGATAAGTTTTCTAACGACAATGTTTCAGAAGGCCGGGACGTTTCTGAGAAGTCCCGCCGCCTTTTGAGTTGGTTTTCTTCTTCTCACCTCGCCCGCCGCCAAGAGAAGCCAGTCCCAGGGAGTGGGTCGAGACCTCCTGGGGTCCGCGTTTCTGGGAACATACGACGTCTAGGGAGCTCGTCAACCTTCCGTTCGTGCGCACCCTCCCAAACAGCAGCTTGGGCCTCCAGTGAGGGGGAGCGGCGCTGGCAAGCGCTTGTGCGCCTTCCCCTGACGTCTCGCGAAATCTGCCACCGCTGTGCAAAACCATGGTGTAGTAGCAAGTGGCGCTTGGCAGGGGATGTAATACGATGGATGAGGTGAAGGATCAGCAGCAGCAGCGAGGAGAGGAGGGAACACGAAGATGATGAGCAGGAGCAGCGAGGACGGAGCATGCATCGCATCACCATGACAGTCAACGTTCTGTTGCATTGTGCGTGCGCGTCGGCGCCAAACGTGTACGAGATACGAGACCAGTATACCATAATCACAGTCATGTGATATGTACGCGTAGAGTCTTGCGCATAACTGGACAGATACAAGCAACTCGTGATTGGACGCGAAACAGCACTGACAATGATGTAACTAATTGCAGCCACCGAAAACACAGTATGCGACCGGAGTTCCCCACAACGGCGTTAGCGGGATCAACGGGGCACAAAGTAGGAATAAAAAGGAAGACTCTTGACGTTTTCAGGTTGCACCCTTTCCTTTTGTATCGCAGGGCGCACACCGTGTAAACAGTGCTATATTCCGATACCCACCTCGCTTTGACGGGCCTCCTTAGAGGGTGGGAGGGGCGTGAAATTGTTGTAAACATTTAAGTAATCCGATATCCTCCTCGTTTTGGAAGGGCCTCCCTGCAGGGGTGGGTGTGGCAGGAAGCTTGGTAAATAGTATGGTGTTCCGATACCCTCCTCGCTCTGGCGGGGCCTGCCTTGAGGGGTGGGAGTGGCACGAAACCTGATGAATAACATGGTATCCCGACACCGTCCTCGCTCTGACGGAGCCTTCCTGGAGGGTGGGAGGGACACGACATCTGATACATAGCATGGTATCCCGAGACCATCCTCGCTCTGGCGGGGCCTTCCTGGAGGGGTGGGAGGGGCACCAAGTTTCATAGTTGATAGATGCCATGGTATCCCGATGCCGTCCTCGCTCTGGCGGGGCCTTCCTGGAGGGGTGGGAGGGGCACGAAATCTGATACATAGCATGGTATCCCGAGACCGTCCTCGCTCTGGCGGGGCCTTCCTGGAGGGGTGGGAGGGGCACCAAGTTTCATAGTTGATAGATGCCATGGTATCCCGATGCCGTCCTCGCTCTGGCGGGGCCTTCCTGGAGGGGTGGGAGGGGCACTGGGCCGTCCTCGCTCTGGCGGGGCCTTCCTGGAGGGGTGGGAGGGGCACGAAATTGATACATAGCATGGTATCCCGAGACCGTCCTCGCTCTGGCGGGGCCTTCCTGGAGGGGTGGGACCACCAGACCGTCCTTCATAGGGGCACCAAGTTTCATAGATAGATGCCATGGTATCCCGATGCCGTCCTCGCTCTGGCGGGGCCTTCCTGGAGGGGTGGGGGGCACGCATGGTATCCCGAGACCGTCCTCGCTCTGGCGGGGCCTTCCTGGAGGGGGGGAGGGGCACCAAGTGTTGATAGATCCCGATGCACCTTCCTGGAGCACGAAATCTGATACATAGCATGGTATCCCGAGACCGTCCTCGCTCTGGCGGGGCCTTCCTGGAGGGGTGGGAGGGGCACCAAGTTTCATAGTTGATAGATGCCATGGTATCCCGATGCCGTCCTCGCTCTGGCGGGGCCTTCCTGGAGGGGTGGAAGGGGCACGAAATCTGATACATAGCATGGTATCCCGAGACCGTCCTCGCTCTGGCGGGGCCTCCCTGGAGGGGTGGGAGGGGCACCAAGTTTCATAGTTGATAGATGCCATGGTATCCCGATGCCGTCCTCGCTCTGGCGGGGCCTTCCTGGAGGGGTGGGAGGGGCACGAAATCTGATACATAGCATGGTATCCCGAGACCGTCCTCGCTCTGGCGGGGCCTCCTGGAGGGGTGGGAGGGGCACCAAGTTTCATTGAGATTGGTGATGGAGGGGGTAAATCTGATACATAGCACCCGAGACCGTCCTCGCTCTGGCGGGGCAGGGTGGGAGGGGCACCAAGTTTCATAGTTGATAGATGCCATGGTATCCCGATGCCGTCCTCGCTCTGGCGGGGCCTTCCTGGAGGGGTGGGAGGGGCACGAAATCTGATACATAGCATGGTATCCCGAGACCGTCCTCGCTCTGGCGGGGCCTCCCTGGAGGGGTGGGAGGGGCACCAAGTTTCATAGTTGATAGATGCCATGGTATCCCGATGCCGTCCTCGCTCTGGCGGGGCCTTCCTGGAGGGGTTGGGAGGGGCACCAAGTTTCATAGTTGATAGATGCCATGGTATCCCGGTGCCGTCCTCGCTCTTGCGGAGCGTCCCTGGAGGTGTGGGGAGGGGCACGAAATTTGATAGATGTGGGGGAGGGGGGGAGACGAAATATGATTAAAACACATGGTATCCCGAGATCGTCCTCGATTTGGCGGGGCATTTTTGGAGGGGTGGGAGGGGCACGAAATTGGATAAACAATATTGTCATTATCCCGAGACCGTCCTCGATCTGGCGGGGCCTTCCTGGAGGGGAGGAAGGCACACACATCTTGATACACAATATGGTCGTCCAATACCCTTCGTGCTCTGGCGGGGCCTCCCTGGAGGTGTGGGAGTGACACGAAACCAGATGAATAACCTGGCTGTCCGATACTCTTCTCGAAAGCATGGTATTCCCAATACCCTGCTTGCTCTGGCGGAGCCTCCCAGGAGGGATGGAAGTGCAAGTAGCAGCAGCGGAGGACGAGGGAGGAGGGAGGAGAAGGAGAAGGAGCGGGTATTCTAGGACAGTCAGAACCCCACTCAGGATGTGGGGAAATATCACCATAGAATAACTAAACGAGCCAACGTAGAATTATCAACTAACCAAAAATCAGAGGTTGGGGGGCGAGATCGCAGTGAAACGGAGACCCCCACCAGGAAATCGGTTTCGGTTCCGTGTTCGTGTCGTGCGTGCGGGCGAGGCGAAGCTGCGCGTGATCCTCTTGTAGCTAGGCCGAAGTAGGAGCGAAAGTCCGTTCCCGTCCGCCAGAGGCTGGGAGGTGTCCCAGTTGGGCCAGGCGGTGTCCCGGGTGTCCCTGGTGTCAGTAGGAGCGAAAGTCCGTTTCCCGTCCGCCGGTGGTCGGGAGGTGTCCCAGTTGGGCTGGGCGGTGTCCCGAGGTGTCCCGGGTGTCCCGAGGTGTCCCGGGTGTCCCGGGCGTCCTGGCGCTAACGCATGTCGCTATTTTCATAAATCATTTTTTCGCCGCCTGCGGCGGGCTTTCTTATCCAATCCAGCTTATCTTATCCAACCCATCTTGTCCCATCTTATCTTATCCCATCCAATCCAATCCACCCAACCCAATCCGTCAATTCATTTGTTTCTGCGCCTGCGGCGGGCCAATCCAATCCATCTTATCTTATCCAATCCATTTCTTCGAATCCAACCCATCCTATCTTATCCAATCCATCCTATTCAATCCAATCCAATCCACCCAACCCAATCCATCAATTCATTTTTGTCGGTGCCTGCGGCGGGCTTTCTTATCCAATCCAGCGTATATTATCCAATCCATCTTGTCCAATCGAGTCCGTCTTATATTATACAACCCATCTTGTCCCATCTGATCTGATCCAACCCACCTTGCCCCATCTTATCTTATCCCCCCGCCTGCGGCGGGCTTTCTCATTTTGCTTTTGGGGTCGATAGTGACATCCACAGTGAGATTCACTAATAGGTCGGTCGACGGATAGGTAGATAGTGGGATCTCATTGCCATCGCGATCATCATTGTGGTGGAGGGAGACTCTGATAGAGAGGGAGAGAGAGAGAGAAGGCGAGAGAGAGAGAGAGAAAGAGACAGCCAGAGAGGGAGAGAAAGACAGAGAGAAAGAGAGGGGATATCAAGGTGACGGGCTGGAGGTCAGTCAGGGTGGGCAATTGATCTCAATCCCCCCCAAACCTCCTTATCGCCCGCAGGGCGGTCGTATAGGTAACCAATATATAAGCAAACGTTGCCGCGCACAGATCACCAGGCGCCGCGCAAAATTTTAGTTCTGCCGCGCTTGCGCAAAGTGGAAGGATGTCCCGAGCCAAAACGACGACGTCTGGGTCGCGCGGAATTGTGAAACCGTCGCGCGACATGTCACACAGCGCGAATGAAACCGCGAGTCTTCATGGTGCAGTTGCGTACTTCTCCGGACCAGGTCAAGCCAACCGACGCACCCCATGCTCCAGGAAGGCGGAGTTGTGATAGCATTCGGATGCCACAACATGCATGTCCCCCCGACACGTTTTAAAATGTAGCCAAGACGTTGCTCGCGTTTGGCCTCATCCAGTTTTGTGTTGTGCGTCAGGATTGCCAGTGTTTGCCAGTATCCCGTCCCATCGCCATTGCTGTTACAGCCATGGGCCACATCTTCTGCCTTTGCGATTTTGCCTCAAGCTATCGGCCGCTGGGTGCTCTTGGGTCGCGCTTTGAGTTGCGAGGGAGGCGCGCGGGCGAGCCCTCTGCTTGGCGTCGCGCCCGCTGTATTACCAACGGCTCTGCGCGAAGGGCGCTGTTTGGTGCCCTTGCTCCGGGCGCGTTCGGCCACATCGGGGCGAGGGCACACTTGCGGCTTTTTGCTGAATTTTCACGCAGCTCGAGGCGATTCCGCGCGGGTCCGAGGGATTATGCGCCCTGCGCGTTGGCCGTGCGAAGTCTTTCAAAGGGTGCATCGGAGCTCCGATTCTCTTCCCATGCCTTACCAGGGAGCGGGGAGGGAGCGTTTTCTAGCAAACCTGCGACTTCCCCGGGGTCCATGCCGTTCTGGGCAGGATCCAGTTTGGTGCGTTTTTGAACGGCGTCGCGCACGTCGACTTTTCAATGCCCCATTGACAGCGAAGCGGCTCCAATTCAGTTTCGCGAGAAGGACGACGGGGAAGAGTCCAGCGGTGAACAGGTGAATGCAGCTCACTATCAGTTGCGTGGAAGCGCAACTCGTCGCGCAAATTGTCTTCTGGCCTTCGGCCCACCCCGCCACCGCGCCCGGGCTGTGGATATGAGGCCAATTGGATGTTCGTTGGGATCGCGTGGGAGGCCTTTTTCGGGGGCGTCTCTGAGGCAGGTTGAGGCGTCTTGGGGGCCGACGGTCGGGGGCCTTTCGGGGGCCTCCTTGAAGCTTTTCGGGGGCCTCTCGGGGTCTCTTGGGCGCCTCCCGGGGCTTCCTGGGGGCACTCTGGGGCGAAAACTTTGGATGTTCGGTTCGGGTTCCCTCTCTTGGGCCCCGCTCCGGGGTTGCATTGGGGCCGTCCTGGGCCGTTTTGGGTGCCTTTCGGGCCATCTTGGGCGTTTGTAGGTCGTCATGGGGCCCTTTTGGATACCTCTTTGGCCGTTTTGGGATGGCCTTGGGGGTTTGCTGTTTTGGGGTGTCGGATAATCGAAGTGGAGAGAACGCCAGAGCCCATACAAAACACCCAAGGGCAATCAAAGATATCGGTTTCGTGGGGCTCTCTGGGGGCCTTTTCGGGAGGCCTCTTGGAAACTTATCGGGGCGTCTTGCAGGCCTCTTGGGCCCTCCTGAAGCCGTCTTGGGCGTCTTGGAATGATTTTTCGGCGACGCGGGGCCTTCTTGGGCCGATTTGGCGGCCTCTTGGAGCCTTCTTTGCCCGTCTTGGGGCCTCTCTGTGCTCCGCCGGATCACGCGGGGAATCGCGGGGGAACCCAGGGGGACCGCGCCAATCCCCAGGAGATGTGAGATTTGGGCGGGCTCTGGCCCCCTTGCAGACCCAGCAGGACTGAGGATTCAGGCTCCATGGGTTAGGCAGGGGATCTGAGGACACGCTCCCTCGGTGCCAAGAGGCGCGGAGGCGGATAGAACAATGGACTACAACCCAGTTGAGTATCAAACATGAGCAGGGCCCACGTACATTACATTGAATGGCGCACGACATTTGACCATTGAAAACCGCGACGTATCTCTGCGAACGCCACGGCAAGATGCCTAACGACGCACAATGTTCTCAAGTCCCACGTTTTGGTCAGCAGCTTGTCATAAACCCTATATGATGTTCACACAACGAAGGGGTCGGAAACTCACCAGAAACAGCCCCTAATTACATGTGTCTTCGCGCGTCAGCCAAACCGCACGCCAAAAGGCGCACAGGGCAACCGCCAGGAAAACTGCAAACGACAAACACGCGGGGAAACCGCGCGGGACGAGGAACCGACAAGGGGTGTCCTAGACGTGCCTCATAAGCTCATCGGCTGTTTGGCCTCTAGTTAGCAAGACGCACCGAATAGGCACCGAACGTGCTGGATCAAGACTATCGAATCAGCAGTCCAGACACCACGAAGAAACTTCGGATCCGAAATACGGATTAATCTCAACACGCGCGTCTTTTTCCGCTTCAAAGTAGCATCGCATAGGACGCCCCACGTAAGTGGTTAAACAAAGGTTGTTGTTGAATATGTTGTTATCAAATCTTTAACAAACCTTTCGGCCCCCCGAGGAGTTCCCTGATAAGCCGGCACATGCGGACGGTTCGCTCGATGCAGCTATGGTAACAAGCGACAGGGCACACCCCATACACGTGGTGAACACTTCAGCTTACCAGGGGGAACGACCATAGCGGGGCAGCGACAGCCAATCTTCCTACGGGAATTTTCACCCCTGGCAAGCGGGGGTCGGTGGAGTCAGAACAATTTGCGCTCAGGACTCCAAGGGGCCTGGTGACATGCCATCTAGTGCCTACTGAACAGTGGAGGAACAAACGAGACGAAGTAGTTCGCAAGTAGTTCGAACAGCTAGACGAACGATCGAGTCGAAATAGTACACAGACGACATGTTCGGACGCTCAAGCGGACGAGACGAGACGAAGTGATACGCTTGGATGACATGCGCGGACGGTCAAGTACTGTGCTCGATGTCGTTCAGACGAGGAGGGGGGACAGATGGTGGTCGCAGGAGGGGGTGCGAAAGACGCATCGGGCTTCCAGGCTCCGCGCTCGAGCCAAGGCAGAAGACAGGGAGGGGAGGCACAGCAAGAGAAGAAGGCACGGCATATTCGTGCCGTGTCGACGCGGCGGCAGCCCCGCCGCGGGCGTTCAAGGCTGATCGACGCCGGTGGCCCAGAATCCGTCAGTATGGAGCGGCATGGCGGCCAAGATGGGACGATCTAGCGAGCGAACAGCCGCCGATGCCAACGTCCCACGCCCCACGCGGTGGCAGGAGCCCGGGGTGGAGCGACCCACTCGGTGTCAGATGCCAACGTCCAGGCCGTCGCGGCACGAACTTGCCGCGCACGGCTGTACAGGTGGGAGGAAGACGGTGGGCCTATGGTGTTGGCAGCGTTGCGGTGTTGCCTGTGGCCTGGGGCGGACGCTTGCGCCCAGAGTGTTCACAGCGCCAGGTCTATGTCGGGTGCGTTAAGGAGGGCGACTATCAGGTCCTCTCTCTCCTTCTGCCCTGCATGTTCTATTTGGTAGGCTTCGAGGGCTGATCCTCCACAGTGGAAGCACATTTGCATCCCCTTGTGGTCATGCGTTTTTTCCACGTCTTTTCCCGAGCCTCATTCAAGCCAAGTCAAGCAATGAGGTCTGATCTTTGCGACGTTGTGTGCACATGCGCGACTTGCTTCGTCTTTTGCGAGCTGTCGCGCGTTCTCCCTAAAACTTGCCAACTTTAAGTGTGTGTGTGTGTTTGTGTTTAAGTGTGTGTGTGTAAGTGTGTGTGTGTAAGTGTGTAAGTGTGTAAGTGTGTGTATGTGCGTGTGTGTGCGTGTGTGTGTGTGTGTGTGTCTGTGTGTGTGCGTGTGCGGGCGTGAGCTGGGCCGGTGCGCGCTCTTCTCTGGACTGTTCTGCCCCGCGACGCCTCGCGCCTGGCCGCGGCGCCAGAAGACGTGCGCGCATGCCCAGGCGATGGCCGCCCAAGGCTCCGGTGCGTCGGACCCCGCCCAGGCGCAGCGCGATCGGCTGCCGATTTGAAGGTGTGTGTGTGTGATCTGTGCTGGCCGGGCTCGTCCGCGTGCGGAGGAGGAGGAGGAGGAGGAGGAGGAGGAGGAGGAGGAGGCGGAGGTGGAGGAGGCGGAGGTGTGTGAGTGTGTGTGTGTGGGTGTGTCCGCGTGATCTGGGCTGGCCGGGCTAGTCGCTTTGCCACGGCGCTGTGCGCGTGGCCGCGGCGCCTTAAAGGGAGTATGTGTGTGTGTGTGTGCGTCAGTGTGCTGGCGGCCGCGCATCCCGACGCGAGGTGAACTAGATAGGCGGGCCATTCGGGAGGTTGTTGGCTTGTCTCGATGATGTCAGCCTGTTGGTCCCGCCAGGAGGCTGGCAGATGCTCCGCTTGTTCCACTGCGTCTCTCGTTGCTGCAACTAGGAGTGGAAGTCGTCAAAGGGTGTTATAGCCGCTTGTGCCACCTGTCGCCGCGCCAGGGCCTCCTCTATTTCGACAGTGGATCTACAGGGACCCGACCGTACGTGTTCTCCCATCGCCGCAGCACGTCTGCCATTTCCCCTTCTCTCACTCTCTTTCTCTCCCCCTTTCCCTCTCTCTCTTTATATATATATATATATATAGATCTCTCTTGGCATACATTGGCTTGGCAGGGAGGTCGGGCAGTGGGCGGTCATTTGGGTCTGAGCGGCGTCATCGCACGTAGCTGGAAATTGTTGACGCTTCGCGAATCCCCACCAGAGTGCGTTGCCTGTTGTAGCTAATTCGCCTCGCCTGCTGGCCCAGACGACGCCTACCGCTCCCTGTCCGCTGCCTCGGAGCCGCCGACCAAAAAGAATCCCCACCAGCCCATCCAGAAACGATGCCCAGAGGAATTGCCTCGATCAGGGAAGCGGGCAGCACACAGAGGAAGGGTCTCCTAGTGGAGGCTTCTTCGTGCGTCTTGGGGGCCTCTTGGCGGTCCCGGACGCCTCTTAGAGCGTCTTGGGTGCCTCGGAGAGTTTCTTGGAGGGGGGCCTCTTGAAGCGCTGTTGGGAGCCTTGGGAGCGCTCTCGGAGCCCTCTTGGGCCATCTTGAGGCCTCGGCGGGAAAGCCAAACACATGGATTTTCCCAAGGTGTTGGAAGGATGTTGGCCTCTTCGGGGCCTCCTGGGGGGGCTCTTTGGCCAGTTGGAGCCGTCTTGGAGCGGTCTTGGGGCCCCTTGGGGCATCGTGGGCGCCATCTTGAGGCATCTAGGGATATCTTGGGCCATCTTGGAGATCATCTTTGGCTCTCCCAGGCGCTCTTGGAGTCATCTGAAGCAGGCCCCCCCCCCCAGGAGGCCAACATGTGGCCAAAACCTGCGTAAAAGCAACGATTTGGGCATTGTCGCCGAGGCCTCTTGGAGCGTCTTGGATGCCTCTGGGAGGCCTGTTGGAGGTCTCTTGGAGGTCTATTGGGAGCCTCTTGGGGGCATCCTGGGGGCATCCTGGGGGCCTCTTGGGGCTTCCGGGCCACCTCTTGGAGCCCTCTTGGGGCACCTTTGGGAGCCTTGGGGGCCATCTTTGGGCCATCTTGGGTGAGATCAATCACAGGAGGGGGGTGTTTAAGTAGGGCCCCCCCTTAGGAGGCCCAAATGGGGCCAACATCCTAGTAAAACCACTGATTTTGGCTTCCTCGCCGAGGCCGTTTTGGACGCTCCGACACCTCGCGAAGCCCCCTGTCCAGGTCCATGGTGAGGGGGTAGGGGGAGGGGTAAACCCCTCCCCGAAGGGGAACAAGGAGGGGTGGAAGAGGAAACGCTCTAAACCACCGACGCCTAGAGGGCTGGTGGGATTCAAGGACGCTCGGGCGGGCGGGTGGTGAGGGGGAGCTTGGGGGGAGGGCGGAAGAGAGGGAATGTCAGTATCGTTTCACCGATCCCCATCCCCATCCCCATCCCCATCCCCACCATCCCACCACCCCAGGTGAGGATATGCGCCTCGGAGCTCGAAGGGAACAGCCCATATCCCATCAAACGGGTAACTCGGCCAGTGGCTCCCAGGCCACGTCCGTGGGGATAGGGATCGGTTACACAATGCTCAGAAGGGGGGTCGAGGAAACAAAACCATGGACGCAGGCCGCGAGGACACGCGGCGGCTCTCGCATCCAGACCGAATCCACGCGCTCCGCCGCCATGTCGGGCGGCAGTGGCCTCACGCCTCGGCGGTGCCCTCGCCGCTCCCACGAGCTTGGCGCCAAGGCAGCCAGATCCGGGGATCCCCAATCATAGGGGAGCGAATAATGACATTACCCCAGTGCGACCCTACCTAAAAACTAGAGCCCCTAGGAAAGCAGCATTAATTGTTATACTAACGATGCTGTGCTATGCCATGCTATGCTGCGCTATGCTATGCTATGTTGTGCTATGCTATCGGAGGTCTGCGCGGATTCCTCGGATCCGCGCTGGGGCCCCCTTGGCGGCGCCTCCGGCCCCGCCCTTGGTGCGCTCCGCGCGCCGGGGGGGGGGGGTCCAGCACCGATCCGAGAAGTCCGCGCGGACCTCATCGTTGTTATGTTTATGTCCTTCTTCGTTCCCCTAAATCACGTTAGCATGTGCCCGAATGGGGGGGGGGATCAAGTGTCGCTGATGTGGGGAAAGGAGCGGCCGCCTTTTAGCTTGACGGCCCCACAGCGCGTCTTGGTGTATTCGCGCGCACAGCGCGTTCCGCTGGCGCTGGAGCAGATTGAAGGAATGTGCAAAAGGTGGACCGCGTCAGCTTCCTCAGTGCATTCCGCTCGCAGCATTCGAGTGCCATGCACCCCTCATTCCACCCCGCATGGGTGTCATCCCACCTTTTTTCTCTCAATCGCTCTCTCTCTCTCTCTCTCTTTCTCTCTCTGTCCCTCTTTTTCTCTGCATGCATATCCAGGCTCCCATATGAGTGTCTCTGTAAATGTAACGCGTATCTCTGACACACACACACACACACATCTCTCCTCTTCCGCATTCTGCCGCAATGCTTCTTGTCGTCATGTTCCTCGTCTCCTGGCTTCACCATGCCCTGCTCCCTCCTCGTCCTCCCGAGCCGCTTCTCCCCTCTCTCTCTCTCTCTCTCTCCCCCGGCTCAGGCTTGGGAGGGAGACTGTTCAAAGGAAGGAAGAAGGTCAAAGGATGGAGGAGTGTTCTGGTCCCCTTTCAGCGATGAAGCTCCCACTTCAGATAATAGGTTTGACAATGGCATCTTTCGTGGAGTTAGGCGGCTACTTCGGCGACTCCTTGTGATCGTAACACTGCCGCGTGCAGAGCCTTCTTCACGAAGGCTCTGCACGCGGCAGTGTTACGATCACCGGATAGAGACAGTGCCTAGTCTCTCTTGCCAGAAATAGCACGAGTTTGTTATGATCAGAGTCGTGCCCGACTTGCCTTCAAATCCGAAAGGATGAACAAATCGCTGTTATAAGGTCCATGGGCTGTGGTGGCACCTGGACCCGTTTACATGCCGCCAGGAAAAGCATACCGAATCAACACGACGTGCAGCCTGTGTGAAGCAGGCGAGGATGCGTTGGTGCATAGGTTTTGGTTCTGCCCAGCGTGCAGTGCCGAACGGAACGAGATCTTGGAGAAGATCTTGGAGGGCCAGAGGCCAAACATTTCCCGAGATAAGCTTCAAGGACCGCGAAGAGCTCCTGCTGTACACCAGAGGCTTCTTCCCGCACCCATATGACACGTTCCCGAGACCAGCTTCTGAGGCCCAGCAAGGACTTGAGATAGTGTGGGCCAAGGGGGCCCAGCAGCTGAAAAAAGACTTGTAGAGAAGATGGCCTCACAGATGGTTCTCGCTGCAGGAGTGTGGTCCCCGAACTGCCCAGAGGTGGGTTTTCTTTCGCTGCTGTCGGAAAGGACCGTGACGCCCTCTGCCATCATCGTGCCCCTCCGTGGCCTCCCCGTCCTGAGACCCCGCGGGCAGCCGAGCGGTGTGGGCTGTCTTCGGCAGGCCATTTGGCCCTTTGAAGGGCGCCTGTGTTTCGGACTGGTTGATAAGCATTGCTCGCACCTCCCAAGTGGAGGGCGGCTGTCTTATGAACGGCCGTACAGTGGTTACTTCATGTTTTCGGACGGAGGTTTTGGGTCGCTCACGAACGTGAAGGGTCACCAGCAGGACGACTCTGACTTAACGGATATATGACATTATCATAGTTCAGGCACAGAGCATATTGATGCCATGGCGAAGGGTTGTGCCAACCGCCACCCCCAACCATCCGCTGAGCTGCAGCAGTGGTAAGATTTCATGCTCCGGGTGTCGCAGCTTGTGCGTGCTGTCTTTGTTGTGCTCTTTCCGCTCCGGCCGAAGTTGGATCTGACTGGAGCGACACTCTAGAAGCGCCCGGCCGAGAAAGCAACTCCTGGTGAGGGTCACGTGTGGAGCTGGGTGGGGCGGCTCGGCAAGTCCGAGAGATGCCCTCGAGGCTCCAGAGGGGCTGCGCAGCCCGAGCCCGGCAGATGCCACGGCGGCCCAGGCATGGGCACCCGGGGAGCGGCCGCGCCAAAGCCGAGGGAGCTCGGCCACGATTGGAGACCAGTGGCCACCGTTGCTTGCACATGCGCACACGCTGTAAGTTCTTGACGCTTCGCGCAGCTCAACCGGACCTCCCGCCGCTGGCGCTTCCGCCTGCGGCTGTAAAAAAAAAAAGTAGCTCAACCGGGACCGCTCGCCGTCGGCGCCTCCGCCTGTGGCTGTAAAAAAAAAAGTAGCTCAACCGGCCGAATTCCATTACATTTTGTCTGTGCGCGTGCTCGAGCTCTCAGGATACCCCTGCCGTCAGCTCCCCTTCAGCTTCGCGGCTGCTTTGTGAGCGGGCCGGCCGGTCTGTGCCTGTTGTAGATAATTAGCCTCGTTCGCGCCCCGGACGTTGCCTTTGCCGCCTGACCCTTGTCTCGCGGCCGCGACCAAAAAACAAAAGTTGCCCAACCGGCCGCGCGTAGCCCGCCCGACCTCTGACGCTGCTGGCGCGCTCGCCTGCGGCCTCGACGAAAAAGTAACCCAACAGGCCCATCCAGAAACAATTACCAGCTAAGTTGGTTAATCCGGGGCGCCTGGAAGCACGCGGTCGCACAGCCGTTTTGGAAGCGTCCAAGCTGGGTGTGTAGTACTTTGGGGCCAGAAAATAAGTACCACGAATAAATTCGCGCAGTGAAGCTTAGGAAAGGAATCAGTGCAAAAGCTCCGTGGTGTTCCCTGAGGGAAGCGTGTGTGGCGCAGGTTGCTGCATCTACGATCCGACGCCAGTGTTGCGCAGAGTAGAGTTGTATTCTAAATTCGCGTGCGTTTTGCAGTTGCTCAGGTGCTGGTGCTGCTGCGGGTGCTGCTGCTGATACTGCTTTCGGTGATCGTGCCGTTGATGTTATTGCTGCTGGTGCTGGTGGTGGTGCTGCTGGGGCCCTCTTAGGGTCCTTTTGGCGCCTTCTTGGAGCCCTCTTGGAGCTTTTTCGGGGGGTTCTTGGGGCCCTCTTGGGGCTGTTTGGGTGTTTGGGGGGGTCTGGGAGGCCTCGTGGGGCCGTCTCGGGCCCCACTGTGCAAAAAAAGCGGGTACTAAATTCCCCCCCCCCCCCCCCCCTGGGAGGCTCAATAATGTAGTTTTGGGGCTCTCTTGGGCCATTCTTGGAGCGCTCTTGTGCGCACCCTCTTGGGTCCCTCTTGGGGTTCTCTTGGGCCCTTTGAGGCCTCAAGAGTCCAACGAAGGCAAACATACAAGAAGGCAACACTGGTCCTTAGGTTTTTGGGAGATTTTGGCTTCTTGGGGGCCCGGAGGGCACTTGAAACCCTCTTTGACTCTTTGGGCCGTATTGAGGCCTTTTGGATGTGTGTCGGAGGCCTTTCTTGAGCCATCTACTGCTATCTTGGGCCATCTTGGAGGCCATGCTGCGCTCTCTGAGGCCCTCTTGGGGCCATCTTGGGCCAAAAAGGACCCTCTGCCACCTCGCGGGGGGGCCCGTCCACACCCAGGGAGGGGGAACGCCCTAGAACACCCTCGCCCAGTGGGCTGGTGGGGATCTACACAACTGGAGGACAAGCCAGGGGCCTTCGGTCTAGGTGTGTGCCGCCTCATAGGGATGAAGGTCCTGAAAAAAACACGCTGTCGGTAAAGGTGGATTCTACGCATGGAAATGCACATTGGCCGGCAAGCATCCGAAGAGAGCAGGTGTAACTCTAGTGGGACCATGGGGCTAATATTCCGCCCAAATCGATGGTGATTATGTTCCGGGCTCTGCTCAGGAAACGCTTCCCCACTGCGAGCCCCGTGCAGGCGAGAAAGAGTTCAGTGTTGTCAGAATTTCCCCGCGCCTCTTAGAAGCGGCAGGGTCCAGTGCCGAGGAAAAGCGGCAGCGATAATGGTAGTTCAGATTGATCGAAGTTGTTTTATCTCTTAGTTGCGTCCTCGTTCGGTGGAAGTTGCTCGTGCTTCCCTTGGAAATGTGTACAGGGCAGTATTGCCCTGCCTGCTGACTGCTCCGTCTGGCCGCGCAGGTCTCGCGCCGAGCTTGTGCCGAGCTGGGCCTCTGTCCCGTCCTCCGTCCTCTGGCGCCCGTGGTCGGGGTCGTGCCAGTTAGGACTTTCGCGTGTTGTGCACCCCGCCTCCTGGCGCTCCTGGGTGGCGAACGTGGCAGAGGATGAAACGGACCTCGAGCGCCACCCCAGTGCGCGTGCGCCTCGCGAGTCGGGTGGGGCCCCGCAGTCGATGATGGTTTCCGCGGCTCCGAGGGCCTGGTTGCCGGCTTGTTCTTTCGCCCGCTCGCCGTGACTGCCCTCGTTCCCGACCCGATTCTGGCGTGAGCCCCCCTCGGCAGCTCGCGACGTCCACTGTCGCTCCGCTCTAGGAGGCGAAGCTTGCAGTGTCTCAGAGCGTGAATTACCTACCCCGCTTTCGCTTCCAGGCAAAACCAAGTCATACCACGCGCCTCCTCGTCAAGCGGCCTGACCAGTACAGGCCGTAGTTTGGCATCGATTGGTATCTCTTGGAAGCGAGGGTGGTCAAAAGCGAGGTAGGTTTGTTTTCCCCTAGTGTCGCGGACCTCGCGCGCCACCCCAGTGCGCTTCTCCGACCAGTGTCTGTGCAGTGGTGCTGGTCACCCCTTCGGGAGGAGGCGCTATCCTCCCCGTTGTGCAAATTGGCGGGAGCGTTGACGTCAAAAAGAATTCCCGTCTCTCTCTCTCTCTCTCTCTTTCGCCCTTGCCGCCCTCCCTCGCGTTCCCCTCGATTATCTCGCTGATCCCCTTCCTCTCCCTCGTTGATTCCCCGCCACCACGCCAGAGATCTGGTGCATGTTTGTTTCAACACGGGCTCCGCGAAGGTCTCGACCTTTCCCCCAGGGCCGGTGTTGCATGCAGCGCCGTTTTCTGACGGTCCCGGGGCCCGGCGAGGGCCCCCAGAAGCCGAAAGCAACAAACGAGAACCGCCGCTCGAGCTTCCCAATGCGATGGAGGTCGGGGCCCTCTGTGCGGGCCATACTTCTGTCCATATCCACTGCAGTACGGAGTTTCGGGCTCCCTTCCCAAGAAACCCGAGGCGCACTGGATATGGATAGTTTTGCCCCCTAGAGGCTCGATGTTTTATCCATATCCAGTGCGCCTCGGCCTTGTGGCGCCGCTTCCACAAGAGTCCAAGAGGCACTGGATATGGACATGAATCTTGCCCGCCCTCTGCTCCCCCTGCGCCGCCCGAGGTTCATCCGCCGCAGTGCCGACGCCTCCGTGTCCGAGTTCTGGCAGCTCGCGTGGGCCCAGGCCTGGACAGCCGCCCGCGCGCGCGCGCCTCGGTGGCGGGAGGCCTCTGCTCGCCAGCAGCCTCGCCCGCAGCCTCAGCGGGGCTGTTGCGGGGACGCGTATGCCGCTTGGCATCGCTCGGACGTGTGCATTTTTCTTTCGGCGAGGACTATCGAGGAGCATCCTTGATCATTTGGCGAAAGAACCACGCACGAAACCGGAACAAAAACACAGGGAATGGACGTCCGAGCGATGGCCAGGCCATTGTTGGCACCGCCGCAATTCTCGAACCCTTTGAAACATCCGACGCGGAGGTTCTCATCGCCTACAGCCTCTCTGGGACCCTCGCTGGGCCCCGGGTGGCCCCGGGTGACCATCCGAAACGATTTGGCTGCTGGTCCCGGGGAGAGTCCCAGGAGGCCCTATGTTGGAGGCAGCAAGCCGCGATCGGTCAAGACAGCGATCCTCGCGGCGTCATAGACCAACGCCGACCTCATGGTCATCGCGACGTCAATATGTAGACTAACCTCTGTAAGTCTTCAGTTTGGCCCTCCCACTTTCTCGGCGGTGCATGCGACTGGTCCTAAAACATCTTCATGCGTCTCCCCCTGCTCCCACTCCTTCTTCTCCTCCTAGTCGCACTCGTTGTCGTAGCTGTCGTCGTCGTTATTGCGCGGCGGGTGCCGCGGGTTAAAATATTTGGTTGTCCCCTATTGGTGGGGCCCCAGTTCTTCAATAAGGCCGCCGAATAAATAATTCGTTACCCCCCATAGGGGATTGTTCTAGACTTATCAAGGTTAGTCCGTCTCGGAGCAAGAGCTCGGGCGATGGCCTGAAGAAGTGATCCTGACCCTAAGGTGTCACCTGGCCCAGGGCCGCCTGAGCGACCCTGGAGGCCCCAAGTGGCCCCAGACACGGCCCAGAAATGACGCCCGCGTTTGCAAAATTCGTTCGGGGGCACTTCTGCCAGCATTTGCAGTATTATTTCTGTGCGGCGTGCATGTTACAAGTGTTGTTGGACCCAGCCATTCTGTGTTGTTGGGCCTTCCTTTCTCTACGCAGCGCCGCGCGTGTCCTCCTTCGATCCCGCTTTCGCCGTGCACAATGTGCCAATAGTTGTGGATTGTGGACGCTTGGTGAACGCCCCATGGTTTTTTGTGCGTTCTTGCACAGCTCTGTGATACCACACGCACCCCATTAATGTAGAGGAAGGCTTTGCGCACGTCAGAATACGTGTTCGAGAGGAGGTATCGCACATGCGTCTGACGCAGGTGGCCCAGGGGTACCGAACATGGCATTAACGTTCGACGTTTAGGCCCGTGGGTGCTCTCGAAGACCCGTGCGGCACGCGCCTTCATGTAAGATCTGCACGCCCTCGTGCACTTCCACTCCTGGGTTCGCGCGCGCGTGGGGTCACCCCGCACTCACCTCCCACGCTCCGCTGGCGGGGCTCGCGGCGTGCGCGAGGCCTCCCGCGCGCGAAGAGCACCGCTCTCGCCGCACCCCGAAGCAGGCGGACGGGCCCACGCCTCCCCGCCCCCTCAGCCGCACTCCACCGGGCCGTGGCACTGGAGAGGCAGCGATCACGCCGCCCGCGGCCCACGCTTCGCACCTCTCCCGGGAGCCCTCTTCGCCCCCCCCCGCTCCCCGCACGGATCCCGGCACGCCTGCCCTCCCAGCAAGGGGGCTCCGAGGTTCGATCGTTGCGGCAGGGGCGCGTCCGCGGTGGTCATCGGGGCCAAGCGGATGGGGCACCGCGCCGCCGAGGCAAAGAGTGCGCCGCGCGGTCTGCGATCCGATGTGGTGGGCCTGTTTTCCACCACCACCACCAGAAGTTGGAGGGGGAAGGAGGTGGAGGACGAGGAGGAGGAGGAGGACGAAGAGGAGGAGGAGGAGGTTGAGGAGGAGGAGGAGGATTCCCTCCCCCTCCAACTATGGTGGTGGTGGAAAGCAGACCCATCACGATGGTCCTTGCTCGAGGGACAGAAAGACCCGACCCACCAAGCCAGCCCAACCCGACCCGAAGGCCCCAAGTTGCCCTCCATTCCCAGCGGGGGGGGGGGGGCATCCCAGAACACTGAAGAGACACAGATGGAACCCGTACGCCCCCCAACCCGAAAATGGGGACTTCGGGTTGGGTTGGGCAGTTTTGGTAGGTAGTCTTAAAGCGGCACAAGCATGAACTTGCGACGGTGTCCACGCGGGGTTCTTGGATCGGCGCTGGGGCCCCCTTGCGACGCCTTTGGCGCCGCCCTGGCGCGCTCTGCGCGCCAGGGGGTTGGGGGGTCCAGCGCCGACCCAAGAAACTTGCCCGGACCTCTGAAGGTGTATGTTTATGTATATGGTTGTTTCTCGACGCTCCCGTGAGTCCGTAAGAGACGGTCCAACGACTCGAACATGTAGGTTTAGGTATAAATTGTCGGAGGCCCGCACCAAGATATTTGTCCGATATTATCCTACATTATGAGGTACGCTGAGATGGGTCAGACATCTTGATCCTGTTATTCCTTGTTCATACTTCATCTGACAATACTAAGTGGCACTGTAGGCGATAAGCTCAGATTCCCGATACCAGACGAATGCAAACAGCACACATGGAGCGTGACTCCCGATTCCAACGGTCCTTCCAGAAGTGGTCCCCCAGAAAGTTGAACCATTTTTGGTACAACATTCGCGTTGCCCCCTTCTGAGGTGGCCCCTCAGACTCGGAAGTCTGAGCTTACAGTATAGCTACAGTATTATGTATGACCTCATCGAATTATACGTAGCACCCCGCAGGTGCGGATAAGAGCGCGGGGGCGGTGGGGACGTCGGCAGTCTGCGAGACTCTGGAGAAGCCCGCCGCAGGCGCCAACGTTTCACAACTTATACAACGAGCCCGCGGCAGGCGCCGACTTTTTCTTCAAACCAATGTGGATCGGTCGTGGGTGAGTCGCAGGTGGGTCACGGGGTGGGTCGCGGGAAGGGTCATGGGGTGGGTCGCGGGGTGGGTCGCGGAGTGGGTCGCGGATGGGTCGCGGGGGGGGCGACGACAACAAACAGCAGCAGCAACAGCAACAGCAACAAAGAGCAACAACAACCACAACAGCGCAACCTGCATACTCCTCACCACGGACTCTCACTTCAGCCACGCACCCAGGGATAACGAGTGACCGTTCGGCCCCCTCGCTCCGACTTTGCAGGCTATGATCGCGCCAGGGACGGCACGAGGCGATGGCGGGGGGCAGAGGGTGGAGTGCTGAGCGGCGGCGACGAAGGTGCAGGAGGAGGGCGAGGAAGGGGACGAGGAGGGGAAGGTGAGAGGGGGAAGCTCGAGAAGTGGGAGCTGGAGGGACAAAGAAGAGGAGGGGAAGATGGGAGGGGGAAGCTTGAGAAGGGGCAGGGAGGGATAGAGAATGGAAGGAGGGAGCGCTGTGTCACCTGTGTAATCTCCGACATGCGCTTCCTGTGTGCCACTACTTGTTTCGATGTGTGCTGATGTGTCTTGGAATGCCTTTCCTATGTTCTACTGCTTCTTCGTTGTCCGCTGCTGTGATTTCATAAGGCCTCCTCCTTTTCAGCTCTGGCCCCTGGAAGGGCTGGTAGGGACATCAAGCATGGTGACCATGAGGAATGCGTGGTGAGCGAGGAAGCTCCGCAGTCACATCTCATGACAGTTCGCGTGTCCACACCGGTTTATCCCGAAACGAGGCTTAGGTGAGTTGTCAGGAGACGGCCAGTCGAGAAGAGCGTTGTATTGTGCAGCAAAGGTGCCAAGCATGGCCTGTTCACAAACTTCTGGGAGCACTTTGGAGGCCTTTTTGAGCTCTCTCGGGGCCCTTTGGCGAGCCCTTCGGGTCCCCTCGATGCCCTTTCTGGGCCTCGGTCGGCCCCTCGTGGAGCAATCCTGGAGGCCACTGGTCAAAAAGGAGAGAGAGATCGGAGGCCCACAGGTTGACACCAACACCAATATCGGCGGTGTGCCTCCACCGAGGGAGGATGATCGCGATCTCGGTGATGGTGCTAATATGCGGGCTTCCTCGATGGCCGATAGATTACCACCAACACCGAAATCTATGATCATCTTCCACCTGTGGAGGCAAACCCCCTGTGTTGGTGTTGGTGCCCATTCCCAAGCCTCCAGAGGGAGCCCGCCCAGGTCGTTACCCCCCTCCCTGGAGCCATCAAGATCATGGCTTGTGCCTTGGGCGGCGCACGGCGTGCTTCTGGTCGCTCCCGGCCGTCCCAAGCCGCCATCGACTGCTCAAAGATGGGGTGCTCGGAGGGCGGGGGGTCCCGAGGACAGGAGGGGGCCCAGGGGTGGACCTACACGCTGGCCGTTGAGAGTGAGTATTTCTGAACCCCCAGATCCCAATTCGGGTGTAGCCAGGACCCCTGTTAAGGGGAGCCGGATAGAAATTGGGCCCCGAAGTCCAACAGATTTGTTGGAATTGCTAGACCGGGTCTGCCGTAGCTGTTTTTTTTCGGGTGACGGCAGTTCTGGTCAGTGGAATGGGGCGGGGGGGGGGCGTCCCGCGGTACACATCACTAAACCAGGTCACACTAAACCCAGCCTGGCCAACGCCCGACCAACCTGCGTAATGGAGCCGCTTTCCTCTTTCACGGGTCGAAGGGTTTTCCCTCTCCCCTCCTCTTCAGGGGGCGGGCGGAGGTCCAATCCATTTCTAGCGCCTTCCTACTCCATGCTCCTGCCCATGTCTTCCGACCGACGGGGAAGGACAGTGAGGGCTCAAGGGTGGACTTACGTTTCTTGAGGCACCTCACCTCGTCCTTAGTCGGGGGCAACGATAGGGGGGGGATAGGCATAGGGGGGGATGCATCGACCCCCAATCGCCCATTGATCGCCGATAGGGGCCCGATGGAGCCCCAAGCTGCCCAGGGAGGTGCGGATTCACGATCGGAGGCCCATCGCCGATCTATCGGCGATGTATCACCGGTTCCAGGTCGGTGCATCCCCTCCTGTCCCAGTCCCCCCCTGTCGGACCCCCTCCCTCAGGACCCCATCTTTGACTGGGGGAGCGTAAGACCCGGGTTTGCCGGGACTCGGGTTCGCCATCGTTTTTTGACGACCGCGCCTCGGATTTTGACGAGGAGGAGTTTTGTGGGATGTCTGCAGCGGGAGGCCTCGTCAAAATGCAGGCTCGGCCTCGTCATTTTTTTGACGACCTCGTCGGGGATTTTCGAGTCCCCCGTACCCGGGTCTTACGTCTCCCCGATTTGAGCCACCGGTGCCACCGGGCAAGGAGGCCGGAGCGCGCCGTGGTGCGGCGCCGGCCGGGGGGCGGAGGCGCGCCGGGCGCGCGGCCCGCCAGGAGGTGCGGCAGGTGCGCATCCACACGTGCGTCAGCTCGGAGGCGGGCAGCTCCGCTGGAAGAGCGGCGGCGGGCCCCGGGGGGAAGCGAGAGGGGGCGGTGTTCCTCAGAAGGCTCGCCGCGGGCCATCTGAGAAGTTTTTGTTTTCTCTAAGCCCAGGCACAAAAAAAAAAAACGTCTCGGAGATCCGAAGGGCCTCTGAGAAGCCCCGCCGCCTCCGAGGAGGCCTGCTCCTTCTCATTTCCCCCCGGGGCCGCCGCCGAGAAGAGGAACAGATTGCATGAGCACGAATTTTCGGAGCTCCAAACGGATTCCTTGGATCGGCGCTTGGACTCCGCTGGCGGCGCCTCCCGCGCCGCCCTTGACGCCCGATCCAAGAGATCTGCCTTGGACTCATAGAGTTTACGCGCATGCTGCTGTTATTGGTTTTCGCCATCACTCCCGTCTCCCACATGTCTCGTTTCTGTTGTAAGACCAGCCGCAAATGCAAAGGAGAGCACAGCGGTGTTTGCTGCGTGGTGGCCCCTCACACCCGTTTCTGCCGCAGGCCTTCCTCCTACCCCTCCCTCCAGGATCCTGCCTGCCTTGAAGGAGCCACGGCACGCGTCGCTTCAAGAGACCTCTTCTGCATCTTTGCGGTGCTGGCCAGGGCTCACCGATGCTCGGAACGTTGGTTTCAGTTCGCCGGCTTACTTCCACCTACGGCAGTTGTCATCCTCGGTTTGGACACAATTCCTGAGAGGCTCAATTCAGCATCGGCGCAGGTAGATCCGTGGTCAGAAGCTGGCCTAATACTGCACCATCCTTGTAAATTCCGCTTCGTCCCGTCTGATTTGGCTGAATCGGGTTTATCCAATCTGGGTCAATCTTGCCCAGTGGTTTCGGTTGCTCGCCCTATTTTGCTTTATTGTGAAGAGTTTGCAGGAACTGCCTCCTAAGGTTCACGCAGGCGTTGGGCGAAGACGCGCGATTAGCTCACTCGTGAATTGAACGCCTGGGCCGGTCGTGGGTGCGCGAATTCGCGCTGCGCGGTCCAGAGGCCAGAGGGCGGTCCTTCTCGGACAGGGCTAGGACGAGGATCAATCCGCTCCAGAGCGTCCTGGAACGCTCTCAGGAGGCCGCTTCGCCCGAGACATCCCCCAGAGCTGCCGATTTGATTCCAGGAACTTGCGCCATTCCGCCGCCCCCTTAGCAGAGCAGAGGCGTGGGGTCCACGGCTGAGGCGTCGTGGGCCATTGGGGCGCTGTGTGGGGATTCCTGCGGGCATTTGGGCAGCTGCTTGGGGGCCTGGCGGAGCCTCTTGGAGGCAGCTCGGAAGCGGGTTGGGGGCCGCCTCGTCTTGGCTTCGCACTACTTCAGGAGGAGGAAAAACACACAGACACAATTAATCATCGACCCCCCAGAAAATATGGGAAAATATGGGAAGTGGTGGGGAAGACAAAAACAGAGAAAATATAGGAAACTATGCGGAATCGTTTTATTTGTGTGTATTTATTTGTGTGTCCCAGGGCCCCTTCACTACTGTCCTTGTCGGGGGGGGGCGGCGGGGGCGGCGGCGCGACAGCGCGAGGGCATCCTCGCCTCGCGCAGCGCGCGGCGCGAGCGGTGGGCTCTGCGTCGGAGGCCTGGGGCCGGCCTCGAGCACCAGCAGCGGCGGCTTGCCTCCACCGCGGGAGGCTGATCACGACCTCGGCGATTCTGGTGATACTTCGGAGGTGGAAACTCAAGGGCAACGACAGGGGGAGATAGGCATGGGGGGGCATGCATCGACCTTCATCGCCCAATGATCGCCGACATGGGTCTGAGAGCCCCAGCCCGCCCAGGCAGGTGCGGTTTCGCTTATCGGGGGCTATCGCCGATCCATCGGCGATGTGTCGCCGTTTCAGGTCGACGCATTCCCCCCTGTGCCAGTCGCCCCTATCCATGCCCTTCAGAAGAGGCTACGCTTGCCTTGTGTTCCCCCTGTTGGGCTTCCTGGGAGGCTCTCGTTGCCACGACTGGATTCGCCTCGAAATCCTGGTCGGAGCGCACCCTGGGAGAGGTTCAGGGAGCAGCGGTATCGGTATCTGTCGATTTCCCCTTTGCGACCAGCGCGGCCGACTCTGAAGGCGGGACCCCCTGAGAACCCCGCAGGCGACCGCCACGGGACCCGCGGGGACCCCTTCGGGGCGGTATTCTGACCCGGGACCCTCCCCCCGGCAGGGAAGGGATAACAGTACGTAAGTGGCTTCCTTTCGGCTTGGCTACGACGTTCTTTCCCCTTGTTCTTTTATTTCCTGGGGACCCGCGACGACGTCGATGAGAGCCTCCTCCACACGCCGAGGGGTCGGCGGATTTGGGCTTCCAGGTGGCCCAAGGATTTTCACCAGCACCATCTAGGATCATCTTCCCCCCGTGGAAGCACCCCCTGTGTGGGTGGTGGTGTCTCCAGGCCTCCAGTATTCAGTCAAGACGCTGAAGTCAGAGCTTGTGTTTGTAATTATCCCCTTCGCGATAACGGCCATTATCGTGGGGGGCGGGGGAGGGGGGGGAGGGGGCAATTAGAGTCACGATTCCCAGGCGGCTATGGAGCGAATCATGACGTTACCGCCGGAAGGGGGTGGGCGGGGGGACGTCCCGAGTAACTAGCATGATTGCGAATCGTTTAGAAGCGCGCTGCAAGGACCAGTTCGGGCTCAGGAAGGTCCTGGTGTGTGGGCCGTTCCTCATCCTTAGGTCGGGGACACGTTCATCGACGTGGCCAGGAAAGGCCCGCCAGTCCTTATTCAGCGTTCCCAGTGGTACGTAGCACGATGGCCGTAGCCTTCTCTGGGGCACGCGCAGGGTGCAGCTAGGCATGAGGGGGGCATGGCTGCCTCCAGACAGAGCTCGACCTTGCCCGACATCCGAGGCGCCGCAAACATAGCCAAGGCGCGTGGATCAGCGGCGGGTCCCGCGTCCATGCCAGAGCGGCGGCTGCGTCACTACGCGAGGCGGCTTCGGCGCCGTGGTTCAGGGGGTGCCTTCCCTCTGTGTGCTCCTTCCTGGGAGCCTCGGAGCGTCTCAGAATGCCTTGCGGTTTGGGGGGCGCGCCCGGATGTCATCGGATTTGGTCGACATTTGGACGACATTTGGATGGATGGGTGAAGAGGGGCTGTCGAAATCTGACGAGTCCGCTCGAGGTCACGTTGGCAACGGGGCCGCGGAGGTCCACAGAGGCCCCCAGGCGGCCTCACCCCAGCTTCCCCGATCTGTGTGTCTGGCGCCTCTGCGCGCCAAATCCACGGACCCTTTTATCGCTGCTGGCGTGATCGCGATGATATATCTAGTTTCGGCCCTCTCTCCGCCGCCGCGCTCTTCTTGCCCTTCCTCCTCCTAGCGGAGATCTGCCAGAAGGTGCGGTGCACATCTGCCAAGACGCGCCACCCGCTCTGGCCTGCTCGCGCGGAGCGAGCGCCCGCGCCGTGACAAAAAGACTCCGCGGCAGCAGCAGCGAGCCCTCGAGACCCCTCGACCGCGACGGCTGGGCGCGGCCCGAGACGCTCGCCGCGAGAAGGTGCCCCGCGCAGGTGGCCGGTGTTGTCGTCGTCATCGTCTTCGTCGTGACCGTCGTCGTCGCCGTCGTCGTCCTCGTCGTCATCGTCGGCATCGTCGTGGCCGTCGTCGTCGCTGCCCTCTTCGCGGAGTTTTCTCGCGCGGATCGGCTCTGACCGGGGGCGCCGCCAGCCGCCGGCCGCCCGCGGAAGCCCCAGACATTGGCGTGTGTGTGTTTTTTTCTGTGCGGTGCGCGGGGCGACCTTTTCAGACCGACGGGGCGGACGCACCTCAATTCGGCCGAGAGCGAGGGGGGGAAATGGAGAGGGAGCAGGCTTTCTCAGCAGGGGGGGGCGGGTTCTCAGAAGCTCTCCAGCCTCCCGAGAGGTTTTCTGTGTCTTCGGGGAAGGCTTAGAACACTTCTCAGAAGGCTTGAGGCCTCCCGAGCCTTCTGAGAAGGCCCGCCCCTTCGAGAATGAACCGACGCACCTCTGTGCTCAGCCGGCATTCGGACGTGGGAGCCCGCACGGCACACTCGTACGGTGTGCTGCCTGGGGCACCGTTCCCCCTGGGCGAGTTGGGCAGCTCTCTGCACCGAGACAGCACGCCACCAGGCTGGGTACTCCGGATTCCATAAAGTAGGGGGGGTCACATTTGGCGGGGGGTCTGATTTGAGCTGTCTTGAAAGGTTCGGGGGGGTCTGGGCAAAGTGCCGCCCTTTCATGGATGGTCTGGGGGGGTCTAAAACTTCTGGTCTGGGATGGTGTTGACCCCCTCCCTCTTGTTACGGAATCTGGAGTAGACGCAGCCGTGGGGCTGCTGGGCGACTCGGCTCCCCGGGCCGGTCGGCGCCGAGCGCCGCCAGGCGTCGCCCGCGCTCTGCCCTGGGGCCAGTGGTTCCTTCTGGAGCCGTCTCGGCTGGCCCCGGGGCCCAGCGATCGGGCCCTGGATGGCGGGAGTCGGAGGTGCCAGAGCCGTGTGGTGACTGATAGGGGGCCGCATGCGAACCCTACCCCTACCCCCCACGATTTCTGAGGGGGAGGGTGGGGTTCACTTTGCTTGGGAGCTCCCGATCGAAGTGAACCCCACCCTCCCCCTCAGAACTCGTGGGGGGTAGGGGTGTGGCCCCCTGACTGACCGCGTGGTGACCTCAAAACCCCCAAGAGACCTCACCGTGCTGTGCGTCCTCACAAGGCCTGGGGACCTCGGAGGCCCAGGTCGCCCGAGGCGTCGTCGGTGAGCGGCCAGAGTCCCCTGAACGGTGCGGCCCCGGATCCCCACTGACTGACCACACGCGGCGTGGTCACCACACTGTCTGTTTGTAAGTAAGCCCCGATTTCACCGACAGTTTTTTTTGGCGTTCAGCGGCCACTGGCGGTGAACAGGGGGTGATTGGTGGACGGTTGTCGCGATTGGTGGACGGTTGTCGCGGGGCGCGCGTCGCTGTTTGCCGCTGATCGGTTGCCGCTAGCTGCCGCTAGCTGCCGCGAGTCCGCCAACATCTTGACAAAGACAGGGTTCCATGAAGCGAACCTCCAGTCTCTTGGCATCGCCCGGACGTGTGCATATATGTTCTCGGCCAGGACCCTCGAGGAGAATCCTGGACCACCCTGCGCGAAGACACGCACGGGGCCGGACAAGTGCACGGGGCGTGGGCGGCCGAGCGCTGGCGAGGCCTGGTGCCACCCCCGAGGGAATCTCGAGGGAACCCCCCCCCCCGAACCGAAGCCGCGTCGCATCGTCGGACGTCTGGCGCACGGGGGGCCGCCCCGCGGCGCGCCCCCGCGCGGAGAGGCGCACGGCAACGAGGAGCTGCTGCGGCGCCTCCGGGGCTCCCCCGACGAGGAGGGCCGGCTGGGCCTGCTGGAGGGGCTGCGGCTCTCGCAGGACGCCGCCGCCGCGCCCGACCCCGATCGGGGAGGGCGCCTGCGGAGGCTCCCGTCGGCGGCGAGCGCCGGGGGGAGGCGAGGAGGAGCAGGCCTGGCTCGGAAGTCCCCCGACCCTCCCGAGAAGTTCTCTTGCGCCTCCCCGCGAGGAAAGAAGCAGCACCTCGGGGGGCGCGAGGGTTTCTGAGAAGTCCCGCCGCCTTCTGAGAAGGCCTGCTCCTTCTCAGTTCCCCCCCTCGCTCGCCGCCGATCTATGGGCCTCCGAAAGAGGGTCCGAGAAGATTCGGAGCCGTCTGGGAGTCCGAGGTGGCCCAGCACTGGTGCTGGCCAGCAAGACGGGCGCGCAGGTTTGAGGCGCTGGGTTTTGGAAAGGTTTCTGCGGAAGTTTGGGAATTAGCACCAACACCAAAACAGGGAGTTGCGTCCACCAGGGGAGGAGGATCCTAGATGTTGGTTTTGGTGGGAATCTTTCGGCCATCTTGGAAGCCCGAACCACCATCACGGAAACCTGGAGCACCTTCTTTCGGTGGAGGCACACCGCCGACATCGGTGTTCATGTCAACATCTAGGCCTCCGACTCCTACTTTGTTTGGCCTCTGGTGGCCTTTTTCGGGCCCTGGGGCATTGAGAGGCTAATCCAGTGTGACACAACATGCACCAGGTGGACCCCAGGAGAGGTCTGGGAACCGATGCTGAGCGGATTTGGCTTCATCCCCCCCTCCTGTCCGAAACCCCTGGGGTCCTAACCAGTTCAGACCCTCTGGCCGCCTCCACGAGTAGATGGGGTCTAAAGATCGCGCCGTATCGCAGATGCATAGGAGATGGTGCTCAAAGTTCGCGCCCGTTCTTCTCCACGCCGACGTCGCCGATGCCCGATGCATCGCCGACGCCGCCGATGCATCGTCGATGTGCCGGTGATGCATCGATGACACGGCGCGATGTTCCGACACTATCTACTCCGACCCTATTTGGGGAGGTTTCTACCCACGCTGACCCTTCTTCGGAGGTTTCTGCGGATTGCTCCTAATGCTCGGCCCCTGGGGCCTCGGCACCTTGGAAATGCAGTGACGACGCTGAATCGGAGGGCACCAACTATACACCAACACCGATCCTGGCCCAGGATCACCCTGGGCCCAGGATCGGTGTATATGCCTTCTTGCGCAAGGCAGGAGGGCGTATACACCGTCCTGGGCCCAGGGTGATCCTGGGCCAGGATCGGTGTTGGTGTATAGTTGGTACCTTCCTACTGAAACAGGGACCACTCTCGGCTCAGGCGGGTGTGGTTTCCGGGCCGCTCCTTGGGTCCAGGTCGGGGAACCTATTCAAAAACACTGCCGTGCCTTCTTCGGCGTCCCCTGTGGGCAGCGCGACGGCCGCACGACCCAGGGCCGCCGCAGGAGACGCAGCGCCAGCCCATAGGGGAGAGGGCCGGGCCCCCGGGGGCTCCGCTCCCGCCTCGCTCGGGGCCCCCCTCCCGGCGGCAGCGGCGGAGCTCCTCGGCAGGCCCCTCGCCTTCCGAGAGGCGCTCTGCGTCTCGGGAGGAGGAGGAGGAGGAGGAGGAGGAGGAGGAGGAGGAGGAGGAGGAGGAGGAGGAGGAGGAGGAGGAGGAGGAAGAAGAAGAAGAAGAAGAATAAGAAGACTAATAAGAAGAAGAAGAAGAATAAGAAGGAGAAGAAGGAGAATAATAATAATAATAATAAGAAGAAGAATAATAATACTAATAAGAAGAAGAAGAATAATAAGAAGAAGAATAAGAATAAGAAGAAGAAGACTAATAATAATAATAAGAAGAAGAAGAATAAGAAGAATAAGAATAAGACGAAGAAGAAGAATAATAATAATAATAAGAATAAGAATAATAATAATAATAATAATAAGAAGAATAATACGAAGAAGAAGAAGAATAATAACAAGAAGAAAAAGAAGAAGAAGAAGAAAAAGAAGGAGGAGGAGGAGGAGGAGGAGGAGGAAGAGGAGGAGGAGGAGGAGGAGGAGGACACGCCTCCGCAGGCCGGGGGCCCTCCTGAGCCCTCCGAGGAGGCCCGCCCCTCCTCGCTCCGCCCCCTTCGGCCCGTCGCCGGTCCTCGTCCCCGCGCTCTGGATCGGGAGGGGCGCCGCAACCTCGGCGGCCAGGGCCTGCCGCCAGTCCCAGCTCCGCTTCCGCTCCCCCTCCCCGCCCTCGGAGGACAGACGTGGCACGACCGTGATCTGTGGGCGGTCCTCGCGGATTGCCTGGATCTGCGTGGGGCCCCCTGGCGGCGCGGCCCCTGCGCCAGGGCCGGAAGTCCAGCACGGACCCATGAAGTCCGCGCGGACCGCAGAACGCTCAGGTGTGGGTGTTGGTTTTTCTTCCTCGCCCCCCCCCCCTCCCCCCCTCTCCCCATGCTTGCGAGGCGGGGGGGTGATCCATCCATCACCGCCCAGGAGTTCGGATCATCGGGGATATCGGCAGGCGGTGGATCAGGTTATGTTTGGGGCCCCAGCAGGCCCCAACCGATTCATACATAAACTCGCGCATAGTTATACATATATATAGATGTATAGATGTGTGTATACACACATATATATATATATATATATAGAGAGAGATGTGCGCCCGCACCCATATCCACCGCCAGCCGAGGTCGCAGAAGAACGAACCCCTGGGCTGTGGCGAGCCATGGAGAAAAGTCCCCGCCTCGCACCAAAATTTCCCTCCCCCCCCCCTCGAGAGCCCGCAGGTCGCCCCCGGCTCGGTCATAGGGGTGGCGAGTCTGCCGTGGGCCGGGCCGGGGTCCGCCCCCCGGCAGGTGGGCCCCGGCAGTGCTGCCGAGAGGCGCCCCGGAGCCTCCCGCCGGCGGCGCCGCGCACGGAGAGGTCGGGGCCCGAGCCAGGCACGCACGGGGGCAGCACGTGCACGGAGTGACCCTGGGCTCGAGTGCACGGCTTGCCCGAGTGATTCCAGGGCCCGAGCGGTCCGGCATGCACGGTCGGGGCGCGCATGCACGGTGGAGGTCGGGCAGGGCCGTCTCCTTCTTTCGGGCATGTGGGGTGGAGCAAGCAGCGGCGCCAGAATGGGCAGCGGAATCTCGGCACAGCAGCGGCGGCGGAAACGGGCACGAACCGTCGACGAAGCCTTAAAACACTGAGAAGTGGAGCCAGGTACAAGAAACGGCATTGCCGCTTCGAGAGCCCAGTAGTGGCAGGGGTGATGGCGGTTTTCGGAGAGGGCACCCCGCCTCCCAGAAGCCTGCCTGCCCTCCAGGAGTTGGGTAGGGCGACAGGGGGGGGCAGGGTTCGAGGGTCGAGGGGAGAGGGGAGAGTTTTTTCGGCGGCGAGCCCTGCGGGGAAGGCAGAGGCGTTTCATTTCACAAGGCTCGGAAGGCCTCCGGCTTTTCGAGAAGGTTTCCAAGCCTTCTCCAAGCTCAGAGACGGACGGCTTCTGAGTAGGTGGGACGGCTTCTCAGAAGCCCCGCCGCCTTCTGTGAAGGCCTCACTCCCCCCCAGGCGCGCCGCCGTTTTGGGGGGCCTCTTCTGGGCCTCCGCCACGTCTGAATTCGCTTCGAGTTCCTTGCCACAGCGCACCCCAGGAAAGGTCCAGGGATCGAGCTTGCAGGGCAGGGCGAAATCTGCTGTATGCAGCTGGTGTCGGCCCCGCCGCCAAGCGCCCTTCCTCGACACGCTGGCGCAGGCTTCCAGGAATACCCGCGATCTCGAAGGGGATTTCCCTCCTTGCATTGACCCCTTTGAGGTGCGGCGGCAGCTTCCGTCACAGCTGAGGGCTGGTATCTGTAAGAGCCTTCTGTTACCGTGAGCATGTTTTTTTTTCCGCTGGAGCGGTCTGCCTCTGGCTCGCCGCCGACGAACAAAAATGCGCTGTTTCCCGGGGGCGCCTGGCGGGTCCGATTTCTCGGGGACCCTAAACGGGGCGGTGACTACACCGTGCGGCGAGTCGGTGGGGATTCGGGGTCACCGCACGGTTTTGGGACTCGGTTCGTTCTCCGAGGTCGTCTCGGGCGACAGGGGCCTCCAGGGTCCCAGAACCGTGCGGTGACGGACCGTGCGGTGAGGTCTTGGGGGAGTTCGAGGTCACCGCACGCTGTGTCACCGCACCGTTTCGGGACTCCAGAATTTCTGGCTGCCGCGAACATGGGGGATTTTTTTGTGGTGAGATCTGAGACGTTGGGCTGTCTGATCTGTGCTTTCTTGGCCAAGGTGCCTTTTCGGGAGCGTTGGCCAGGGGATGTCCTCCTGTTGCGTCTCCAGTGCCCCTCCCCCCACCGTAGAGGTAAGTCGGGCCTGTCCCTCTGCACGAGGAATATTCAAACATAGTTTAAACACAAACCGCCGGGGGACTGTGCTTTGAGTATTTTTAATAACCATTCTGGAGTATGTTTGACTTTCGTTTATGTTTCGTCCAACATCCCCTTGTATCGGGGGAGCGTAAGACCCGGGTTTGCCAGGACTCGGATTCGCCATTTTTTTTTGACGACCGCGACTCGGATTTTGACGAGGAGGAGTTTCGTGGGATGTCTGCAGCGGGAGGCCTCGTCAAAATGCAGGCTCGGCCTCCTCATTTTTTTGACGACCTCGTCGGGGGTTTCCGAGTCCCCTGTACCCGGGTCTTACGTCTCCCCGATTGTAGGGGACAGGACCGACCTAACCGTAGGGGCCGACGTCGTGCTCCGCGGGGAGCTCGCGCCGCGTTCTGCGGCGGGGCCCCCCGACCTCCCCTCCCCAGGACGCGGCGCGCGCTCCGTTCTCCTCCTCCTCCTCCTCCTCCTCCTCCTCTCCTCCTCCTCCCTCCTCCCTCCCTCCTCCTCCTCCTCCTCCTCCTCCTCCTCCTCCTCCTCACATCCTCCTCCTCCTCCTCCTCCTCCTCCTCCTCCTCCTCCTCCTCCTACTCCTCCCCACCAGGGCTGCACCCAAACGCTGCTCTGCTGGGCTTTGGCGGTGTCCTGTTCGTCGCTGCGGGAGGGAGGTGCAGGACAACAGTATCAGGCAGCGCAGCACGAAGACCAAAACGCAGACACAACGGAAAGCAATACGTGTTTTTTGGTCCGGCCCTGCTGTCCGCAGTCCGTTCCCCATCCACTGGCGGGCTGACCTCGCGCAGAGTGCCCGTGCGGATCCGCCGCGCTCTGCACCGCCGGGGCCGCGCCGCGGGCGAGTGCATGCCGCCCGCGGCCGCCTGCGGCGGCGCCCGGCGCAGCGGGCGCGGACCCCGAGGCCCCCCCGGGGGCCGTCGGGCGCGCTCCCGGGAGGAAGGGTCGTCGGCGTGCCGCCGCACGGCACCCGCACACTGTAAAACGACGCGGAGATCGGGACAAAAGTCGGATCGGGACAACTCGAAATCTCTGAGAATCGGCGGGTTTGGAGGATGTATTGGGCGCCGCGGCCGCTCCAGAGCGTTCCGGAACGCTCTGAGAGCGCTCCGGAACGCTCTGGAGCGATTTATCCCGATCCTAGCCCTGTTTTACACTGTGACGCCGAGTTCGCAGGCCGTAGTTTGGAGGGGGCGAACTGGGCCATCCAGGGGGTGGATGCACAAGTGGGCCGTTCATCGGGTGGATGGAAGCGCGGTGGTGCGAGAAATCACAGCTGGGATTGCGGATGGCTCGGCCGTCCACTTTCACCTCGTCCCTCAACCATCTTTGCTGGAATCAGCTCCTGCCAGCTAGACAGCCCTGGGCCCTCTCGACTGTTTCCACTTCTCTTGCGTATTTAATAGCCCCACTGGCTTTCGATCTCTTCTCCCTTCATGTTTTCTCAGTCTCCTCCACACCTGTACTCCTGCCCTTCTAGACGCGGTGAACTTGCCTCGACGTTGGGTTGTCAAAAAAAGGGAAGGAGGAGGGGAGGAGGAGGAGAAGGAGGAGATGGAGGAGGAGGAGGGAGAGATGATAATGGGATGAATGAGGGAGGAGGAGGAAAAGGAGGTTCATAAGGATGAGCATGGAGGACGATGAGGGAGGAGGGCGGGAGCAGGATTGCGGAGGATGATGGAGGAGGAAGGAGGGGGGGCGGAAGGATGAGGACATGTGAGGAGGAGGAGGAGGAGGAGGAGGACGACGACGACGCGGGGCGAAAAGGGAGAAAAGGGACGACGAGGTGCGGGGCGAGAGGGCAGGAATGCTGGCGGGAGGGAGGGAGGGAGGGAGGCATGGGGGCAGGAGAAAGGGAGGGAGAGGCGGGGTGGTTTGGGATCCGCGCAAGGGCGCCCTGGGTCGCGGGAGCCAAGGCGGCCAGGCGCGCGAGTACCCTTCCCCCGAGGCGCGGAACGCCTTTCCGAGGGAGATCTGTGAAGGGGTTCCATGAGCCGGGTGGATGGCCCACTTGGGGCCTCGGAGCATCAGCCGGACGGATGGCCCATTTGGGGCCCTGGACCGGTGCAGGGGTACTGGGTGCCCCGGTGTGATGTTCCATGAGCCGGGTGGATGGCCCACTTGGGGCCTGGGGGCGGCGAGGGGGTTGCGCGCAGGGCGTGCGAGGGTCGGGGGCGTGCATGAGCCGGATGGATGGCCCACTTGGGGCCTCGGGGGGGGCGGCCTCCAGGAGCCGGGTGGATGGCCCACTTGGGGCCTCGGAGCATCAGCCGGACGGATGGCCCACTTGGGGCCTGCATTCGGCCTCCGCGGAACAGCGTTCGGGAAGGGCTGCGCGCCTTCCCGGAACAGCGTTCGGGAAGGGCTGGCGGCGGAGGGAATGAGGAGGGGTGGGAGCGGGAGAGCACGAGGTTGGAAGAAAGGGGCAAATTGAGGGAGGGAAGGGGAAGGGGACCGGGGAAGGCGAAATAGGACAGGGGAGCTGGGGGAAGGGAGGGGGAGGGGGGGGGGGAGGGATGAGGGGGGCAGAGTGCGAGAGAAAATGGGCGCGGTTGGCAGATGTAAGTAGCGGACTAGCATCAGTGAGGCGCTGAACGACAATGGTGTGGGACGCGGGGCGACGACGACGACGACGACGACGACGACGCGGGGCGAAAAGGGGAGTGAAGGGAGAAAAGGGGAGGTGGCGGCGGAGGGGGGAAGGGGCTGCGCGGCGGGCGGAGGCAGGGGGAGGGCCAGCACGGGAGCGTGCACAGGGCAGACCAGGCGAAGTGGCCACTTCGGCGCCATAGAAAGGGCGCGGCGGTCGACGGGCACACATAGGACGAGAAGGAGAGAGGGTGGCAGAACAGCAATTCCAAGGCTGCTACTCGCAGACAATTTGGCTTCACTCGTGCGGCCTGATCCCGCTTCGAGGTGTCTCCATGTCGACGCGGTAGCGGGCCGTGGGCCGAGGCGACCGAACTGCTCCGAACGCTGGGCGGAAAGGCGTTCCAGAAATCTTGGAAGGCCTCCCCGAGAGCCGTTCCATGCACCCTTTCGACGGCCCACCTTCTGGATGGCCCTGTTCGCCCCGCCTAAGTAGTCTCAGGCATGATCGCGTCTGTTAAAATAAGTCAGGACGGCGGGTCTTGGGCCATGTTCGGCCCCGGGGGGCCCTCGCCGGGCCTCGGGACCGTCAAGAAACGACTCGGGACGAGAAACGGGCCCCGGGGAAAGGGTCGGGATTTCCAGGGACGCCGTCCTGAAAAAATCAGAACGCCGCATGTCTGGGGTCGGACAACCGCCATTCGGAGCCAGCCCCAACGCACCAGTGGCCATGCCTTGCGGCATCGGCCACCTGCTGGCACACTGCCAACACCCGTGGTTTCGCAAGCACTGTTTTTGTTCGTCGGCCGCGAGGCTGGGGTCGTCTGCGCCAGCGGAATGGTCTAAACGGGGATACCGTTGATGCCAATTGTGCCACCATGCAGGAGGGAGGGGAAGCGCGGAGGACGCGTCTGGAAGAAGAGGCGGCGGAGGGAGCGAGCCGTTGAGGGGGACGGGTCACGCCACGCCACCCGTGGTTCCGCAACACACACGCGATAACGGCCACACGTAGGATACAGAGCAGCGGCACCCACACCCGAAGCAAACACCAGCGGCACCCGAAGCACCGCCTGGTATCGGAGCGCACACAACGGGCAACAACCGAGGGGGGCGCTACGCTGTGCTTGCGGCATGTACACCTCACGCCGGTATGCACATGCGTCCAGGACCGCTACCGCTGGGTTTCAGCACACTTTATTTGCGCTCTCTCTCTCTCATCGGCGCTGGTATATCCGTGGTCGAAAGCCGGCCTAGTGCGGCACACTCCCGCTTAATCCCGGCTGATCCGTGCTTATTCTGGGCTCGATCTCGGGCAATCCGGCTCGACGGCCCTCTGATCGGGCCTCACAGCCCTAACCGTGCTCACGTAGACCTCCCAGGAGTTGCCTCCTATGTATCTCCCTCTCTCTCTCTCTCTCCCTCTCTGGGCATCTCACCCGTGTGGTCCTTCATGGGAGCCTCAGAGGCCCGCGAATGCAATAACTCTCTCTCTCTCTCTCTCGGCGTATCCCTACCTGCAGGGCTGCGCCTGGCTCCCAGCTGACGCGCTCGGCGAGGGCGCCCGACTGGGGCTGCCGACGGGGCCGCTGCTGCGCGTCGCCCCAGCCGCGGCAGGAGTTCACCGACTACATCGCCGACGCGATCTCCCAGGCTCCTCGAGTCCCTTCTGTATGCCACACCCCACCCTGGTCAGATTCCACCCCACGGGGCCATGTTCGGCATACATCAACCACGCCCCAGGATGGGAATCTGTAGACCGACAGGACCCTCGTCCACCCCCCAGGATTTTTTTTGGGGGAGCATCGTTTGCAAACTTCCCTGGCGGAGAGGCTGGCGCGCGCCAGCCTGCGCGCAGCTTGTTTCAGCTTGCAGCCGTCCGGGTGTCTGAGGCGGGGGGGCCAGGTTCGAGGTTCTGAGTCTGCGAAGGTATCTGTTTTTTTCGGCCTCATCGGGGTGGCTTTCAGGACCAGGGACTTCCAAGCTGAACCCCATGGGAGTGATCTGGGAACCGATTTTGAGCGGATTTGGTATCATCCCCCCCCCCCCGCCTGACCGACTTTCCGGTCCCAACCAGCTCAGAGCCCTGGCGCCGCCTGCAAACTTCAGCTCTGCCGCCGGCCATGTCTGCTCCGGGACTGCCAGAAGGCTGACAAAGATCCGGTGCGGAGGTCTCTCGTCGTTCTCGGGGCCTCTTTGGGGGGCCTCGCCGGGCCACCGGGGCGTGCCAGAAACTACTATTAGGATTGGGGAGCGGGTCGGGACTTCAGGAGGCACCAACTTGAAAAACAGTGTACTCCAGATTTCGTAATAAAAAGGGAGGGGGTCTGGACCCTCCAAGACAAGCCATTTCAGACCTCCCCCGTGGGAGAACCCTCCAAAACATCGTCTCCAGACCCCCCAGGCCCTCCAAGATAGCCTGGAAGAGACCCCACCCCGAAATGAGACCCCCCTCCCTTTATTACGAAATCTGGAGTATCCGATCCACGTACGTGGCCACCCGCGGGCGCGGGGAATGCCCTCTGCAAGCAGCTGGATCGCTGCCCCACACGTTGCTACCCCCCTCTGGCTGGTCCACCCCGAGAGGGGGGAAAGGGAGTTTGGAAGGAGGGAGGGAGGGAGGGGAGGGAGGGAGGAGGGAGGGAGGGAGGGAGAGGAGGAGGAGGAGGGAGGAGGAGGAGGAGAGGAGGAGGAGGAGGAGGAGGAGGAGAGGAGGAGGAGGAGGGAGGAGGAGGAGGGAGGAGGGAGGAGGGAGGAGGGAGGAGGGGAGGGAGGAGGGAGGAGGAGGAGGAGGAGGAGGAGGAGGAGGAGGAGGAGGAGGAGGGAGGAGGAGGAGGAGGAGGAGGAGGAGGAGGAGGAGGAGGAGGAGGAGGAGGAGGAGGAGGAGGAGGAGGAGCGAGTGATGGTGAGGAGACAGCAGCATCAGGTGATCCTGCGCAGAAGGAGCGCCACGTGGGTTGGCACCGTGAGAGGATAGCAATACCAGGTGGTCCCAGAGGGGGAGCCCAAGAAGCCCCTTGAGGCGCCCAGCTGAGGAAGGCCAGTTGAGACAGCGACGGCCCTTCGGGCTGACGCTAATCCGCTCAAAATCGTATCCCAGAGCCCTCCCAGGGTCCATCCCGGCCGTGCTACTCGAGGGTGCGATGGGCGTGCCGTGCAATCTGCGCTCTTGCAGGCATCCATCCAAGCCCACTGTCGCTTGCTGTGGTTGGCCCTGCTCCCGCACACGAAGGAGGGGGAAGCAAGGAGGGGTGGGTGGGTCGGGCCGGGCGAAAGGGGGGGGAATGGGAAAGGGGGGGTTACGAAATCTGCTGCATGCAGCTGGTTTCGGCCTCACTGAGGGGCCCATTCCTCGATACATAGCCGCCTCCGGCGCCGGGAGGCGCCGGGAAAATCAGCTACGTGAGCTGATTCTCAAACCCCCCCTTTGCTATCCCCCCCTTTCGCCCGACCCGAGTGGGTGGGCCAGACCGTTGGGCGCAGCGGGGCTCGCCCCAGAGTTCCCAGCCGTGGGGCCGGCCGTGCAGCCTCCCAGCCGGCCCCCCCGGCGAGGCGGGGAGCATCGTGTCCAGCTCGATGCAGGCGGAGGCGGGCCACGGCGTCAAGTTCTGGTCGAACGGTCCGCCAGGGGAGGAGCTAAAACAGGGCTAGGATCGGGATAAATCGCTCCAGAGCGTTCCGAAGCGCTCTCAGAGCGTTCCGGAACGCTCTGGAGCGGCCGCGGCGCCCAATACATCCTCCAAACCCGCCGATTCTCAGAGATTTCGAGTTGTCCCGATCCGATTTTGTCCCGATCTTCGCGTCGTTTTAGGAGCAGAAGTGCGCGGGGCCGGGGGCACTGGAGGGGGGGGGAGGGAGGGGGAGAGGGCCAGCCGGAGAGAGGGGGAGGGGGGCCCCAGGTCAGGAAAAAGGGGGACGGAGGGGATGTTGATACCACCCCCGCCCCGTCAGGTCGATTATTCGGCGAGCGGCCCTTTTCTCGGTTCTCGAGAGGGCGTGGCGGCCGCAACGTGGGCGGGCACAGCAAGTACGAAAACCCTCGGACAAAAAGCAAGCCCGCGCAGAACGCAATGAGTTCCCGTTCTAGAAAGGGGGTTGATTGAAGACCTTTCGAGCTTCCGCCCGCCGTTTGCGGTCCCAGGCCGTTCTCACCAAAGAGCGTTCTGCTAAAAGGGGGCTCTCTGTCCACCCCCCAGACATCCGGTGTCTTGATCGGGGGAGCGTAAGACCCGGGTTTGCCAGGACTCGGGTTCGCCATCGTTTTTTGACGACCGCGCCTCGGATTTTGACGAGGAGGAGTTTCGTGGGATGTCTGCAGCGGGAGGCCTCGTCAAAATGCAGGCTCGGCCTCGTCATTTTTTTGACGACCTCGTCGGGGATTTCCGAGTCCCCTGTACCCAGGTCTTACGTCCCCCTGACTTGAGTTTCTTTCGTGCGGGGTCCCCGAATGGGCCGGCTCTTCATCCTGACTCGTTCTCGATGGTTCCCGGGCCAGGCGAGGGCCCCACGGCCGGATCTTGTGAGGCGCGTCCGCGTTGAGGTTCTCGAGACGCTGAAGGTGTGGGCCCGCAGGGGGGGGTGCAGTGTTCAGGGAGGGTCAGCCAGCCTGACGGCGCGACGCCGTCTGCAAGCGCTTCGGAACGGGCGTCTGGCTTTCCTCATCCGCGCCCCGCGTCCTCGCCGCTAAGATCATGTGGCTCTACATCGATCTCATGAGGGCGCCTTCCTGTAAAGAACTCCGTTCTGGTCATTGTTCAAAGAGCGTTCGCCGTCGCACCGCCGCGCCCATTGAAGCGACATCCATAAAGACCCGTGCGACGACACATCCTGTTTGCACATCTGTCCGCGATGGACCCGTCGCCGCCGTGCTGGGGAGATCACGTACGTCAGATGGGTCTCTTTCATGAGATCTCCGCGCGCCAGTTGCGGCGTGCCAGGAGAGAAACACAGACACAGACACAAAACATCGCCGGTCTCTCTCTCTCTCTCTCTCTGTATACATATGTGTGTATAAATATAGATAAAAAAGAACGTGCGAAGCCTAGGGGTGGCGGAGGGGGAGACGAATTTCCAGAAACATGCTTGAATCGTGTCAGGGATCCTGGCCTGAGTGTGCCTGTGTCTTCGCGTGTCGCCGGGCCCCTTCGGCGCGGCGATGGGGGGGGGCGCGGGGGGCAGGCAGCGCGCTGCTTATCTCCGACATCGTGGTCGCGATCACGGGCGGGCTCCGGTCCACCGGCGCTCCCTTTGACCTCGCGCCCCTCTTGCAGTCTCGGGCCGGGCGAAAGGGGGGGATTGGGAAAGGGGGGGTTACGAAATTTGCTGCATGCAGCTGGTTTCGGCCCCGCCGAGGGGCCCCTTCCTCGATACATGGGCGCCTCCGGCGCCGGGAGGCGCCGGGAAAATCGGCTACGTGAGCTGATTCTCAACCCCCCCCTTTGCTATCCCCCCCCTTTCGCCCGACCCGACAATCTCGGCGGCAACGGCAGGGGGCGGTAGAGAGTCAGGAAGGCACCCATACCGTTAGCCTGGCATCGCGTTCGTCTTGTTGGGCAGCCTGGGAGGCCCTCGTCGCCGCCGCCGGGCTGGATTCGCCGCGGATTTCTGGTCGGAACGCACCCCAGGAGAGGTCCAGGAAGTGGTGGTGTCGGCACCTTTTGGCTTCCCCAAGGGGGGGTACATCGACCTCCAATGTGGAGCCAGCAGGGGGTCCGAGGTGGCCCAGCATTGGTTCCGGCCAGCAGGGCAGGTTCGAGGTTGTTGGTTCGGGAAGGTTTTTTTTTTTTTTTTTTTTTTTGTTATTTTGTGGGACCTCCAGGAATTGTTTTCGGGCCCTGGACTGCAATAGATGGACCCGGGGAGGGATTCGGAGACGGATTTTGAGAGTATCTGGTTGCATCCCCCCGCCTTGACCTCTTTTGTCGAGGCCGATCCAGCTCAGACCCCTTGGCCGCCTCTAAGTTCCAGCTCTGCCGTCAGACCTTCTCCGAGACCTCTGGCGTTCTCGTCGTCGTTCTCGGGGTCTCCGGGGGCCCTCGCTGGGCCCCCATGGGACCGTCAGAAATTACTCAGGATGGCAAGCTGGCCCTGGGGAAAGGGTCGGGACTTCAGAGACCCCTGATTAAAAGATCCCAATCGCCCAACCCCCCCAATGCCCATTGATCGCCGATAGGGGCCCGATTGCCAGACCCAACCCAGGAACGTGCGGATTTGCTATCGGGGGCCTATCGCCGATCCATCGCATCGGCAAGGGATCGCGCACTCCGGGTCGAGGTGTCCCTCCCCGAGCCGGGTCCCCCCCCCTGACGTTCTCCTCCACCTCTGCGCCTCGCCCTCCCTCCCATGCTCGGGTGCCTGAACAGACAGTGAGCTCTGCAGCTGGCAGGGGGGGGCGCCGCACGGTCCGCCTCCGCAGAATTTTTTTGGCAGGGCGCGCAAACACCTCCACACGCAGATCGACTACCGCCCAGCGGGCGCCCGCTGAGGTCAGACAGCATGGCAGGCAGGCGCTTCAGGGTCGCGCCCGCATCAGCTTGCGGAGCTCGGGCGCCCTGACGTGGCCGAGCACCGGCCTCGGCCAGCAGAGGAGGGAAGGAGAGACAGAGGCCCCCTCGTCGCCGCGATGGGGCGGGGGAAACCAAAAGGTGTTTGACTAGTTTCGACATGCGCGCGCGCGACGACGCGCGCGCGTGCACTTCGTCGCACTGTTGCAAAAGACTATCGCGACGGCGGGCGCGCAAGGGCGTTCGAACGATTTCGACGCGCGCGCGAAGCCCGATGGGTAGCATGTTCAGGATATGTTAACTAATCTATGGTCCCCCCTCTTGCACGGTTTTTCTCACCACCCGTCCAGCGCAGGCCCACCCAACTCGAAAGCGGGCATTCCATCGGTGATTCCCTTCCGTCTGAACAGGAGTGCTCAGACATGGGCAGCTACGCATTGCCTCCATCCGGGCAGAGTCAGGTGGCAAGGCTTGGAGCATGAGCCGAAGCTGCACTGTGCATGTCATGGTGCTGCTTGTCGTTTCGCCCCATGTCTCCTGCACGCATTCAGTGGTCTTCGGCTGGAGAGGTTGCGTTGCTGCGATGTGAAGAATTTGAGCTAGCAGGTAAGACATACATTTAAGTTTTTCGGTGCACATACACCATAAGCCATGGTGTTTGATGTGGGGGTCATGCGGTTTGACGTTTTGAGCATTTGGCGTTTCTTCTTGCGGGAGCTCATATGATGCTCTAGTCATTGTGTTAGTTGTGCGCGCTGAACGGGTACTAACTTTGTCGTGTCAGCGGGCATGTCCCGTGCGCCCGTTGACCGGTTTTGCGTTGGTTTTTCAGAGAAGCGTGTTGGTTGTGTTGAGGTTATTTGTTGGCGGTGTTTGTTTCTTGTGTTTGGTCGTCGACAAGGCCAGTTGCATTTCGAGCTTGCGCCCTCCAAACCACCCCAACCCAACCCGAAGGCCTCAATTCGCCCTCCATTTCCAGTGGGGGGGGTCCGGGAACATCGACAAAAGCACATATGGAGCCCATACCCCCCCAAAAAAATCAGAAGTTCGGGTCTTCGGGTTGGGTTGGTGTGGTCTGGTAGGTAGTCAATTTCGAGCTTGCGCCCTCCCATGGGTGTCGCCAGGCCGCGTCCTCATGAACCCCCCTGTTCCCCGCCCTGCCCCCCCCCGACGGTGCGAGGGAGGCCGCGCGGCCAGCGACACCAGGATAGCAGCGGCAGAGAGTTCCGCCGAGCCAGTGCGACCCCGACGTGGAGGACGGAAGGTATGGAGGCAGGAGCAAGGAGGAGGAGGAGGAAGACAATGGGAGGAGGAGGGTGGAAAAGAGGAGAAATGGGAACACTCCAAGGGAGAGGTCGGGGAGAAGGGGAGGAGGGGTGTTGCTTCCTCCATCGTCATTTGCCCCCCAGGCTTCTTTTTCCTGTCGGGGCCCCCTTCGCCCCTCTTCGTGCCCTCCTACCCTGGGGCGGAAGCGCATCCGTTATGGACGTCCGCGCAGCTGTCACCGCGCTGCTCCGAGAAGAAGCTCCCGTTGAGGGCAACCACGACCCTCTACGGAGCTTGCCCGGGACACCTCCACACGGGCAGCGGCTCTGACTGCAGCGGGGGGGGCGGGGCTGCGATCGCGCACCGTGGGGAGCTCCCGCACGCTGCGCTGGAGACTGCTTCGTGGGGTCCGGCGATCGCCCGGACTATCCCAGAGGGGGAAGCGGTACCGATACCGCTACCCTTCGTCCATTTCCCCTTTTGGTGGGGTCTCCTGAGAGGTCCTCGTCGCCGCCGCTGGATTCGCGTTGAAGTCCTGGTCAGAGTGCGCCCATGGGAGAGGTCCTGGCCCCCGTTGTCGGGCCCGCCGCCCCCCCCCCATGCCCGGATAAGTTGGCCTCGTCGGCTGCGCAGGCCCGAGCGGGTGCGCAGTATTTGTGCGCGCGGGCGTACGTGGAGCTGCCCAACGGCGAGAAGGTCAGATCATTGGCCGTCACCCCCCCCCCACGGATAGCCCGAGATATCGCCGAGAAATGAAACATGTCTTTTGGAGGCGCCGTGGCATCTCGTGGCGTCGGGGGGGATTCCGCAGAGGACGGTCGATGAGTGGGCCCCTCCATTGGGCGAGTTTGGGAGTTTGGGTGCGCCGGAGTTGGGGGTCGATGGGAGTTTCAAATTGGCGGCTTCGCCCGCATTGCCAGAGTGCGGAACGGGGGAGGGTGGGAATGCCACAAATATGTTTTGAAGTATCGTTCCGTTCGTTGTATGCCGGGATTTTATTTGGCGCGGCGCCAATGGCCGCGGGGGCTGTTGTTTGACGAGGCAGTGAGCTGAATCGCGGGGCCTACTCAGAACATAAGTCCTCGTTTTTGTTGCCGCGCATGAGCACGTAATTTTGTTTAGCCGCAGGGTGCCGTGCCGCTCTTGCCAATCCATTGAGCACACACACGCACCCTAATGTTTTCTGTGTGCAGACATCTTGGCGTTGGACCACAGGATCCCGAAAGATGACATGTGCAGGGCTTATTTCGATACCTCCGACTCGACTCGATTCGATTCAAGATCGGCGGTGAGCGAGGGGGGAATCTGAGAAGGAGAAGGCCTTCTCAGAAGATTCGGAAGTCCCCTGGCCTTCTGAGAGGTTTTCTTAGTCTTCCCCTAAGACGGCAAAAACTTACCAGAGTGCGCGAGGATTTCTGAGAAGCCCCGCCGCCTTCCGAGAAGGCCTTCTCCTTCTCACTTCCCCCCTCTCTCGCCGCCGACAAGTGGCTTACGCGATTCCGCCGACCCCCAGAAAAGGTTGGCAGTCCACGGTTGAGGCGTCGTGGGCTTCTTGTGCATTATTTGGGAATTCTTGTGGACGTCTTGGGAATTGTTTGGGGGCATGTGTGAGCCTCTTGGAGGCAGTTCTTTGAAGTGTCTTGGGGGTTGTTTGGGAATCTCTTTTAGGCATCTTGGGTGCATCTTGGAGCTTTTTGGGGGCCTCTTTTGGGCCGCTCGGGGGCTTTGGATGGCTTCTGGAGCAGAGAGACGGGATTTTCGGACCGTGCTCTCCCTCTTGGCTTTTGGGGCCCTCTTGGGGCGATCTTTGGCTGTTTCGGGCCCCACTTTAAGCCGTCTTGGAACCATATTGGGCCGTCCTCGGGCCCTCGTAGGGGCCTCTTGGGCAGTTAAGGGGCGGTCTTTAGGGCCTCTTGGGACGTCTTGGAGCGTCGGAAGTTCGAGAAGACGATAACCCCAGAAACGAAGGAACAACCTCAGGGAAACAATGTTGTTTTGGCTCTCCGGGCCCTCTTGGGAAGGCTCTTGGGGCATCTCGAAGGCTTCTTGGGGCGTCTTGGAGCCATCGTAGGCGTCTTGGGCCAGTCGTCCGGCGATTCGGGACCGTTTTGGTACGTCTACAAGGCCACGGAAGGCAGATGTGGAAGCTCCAGAGTGAGTCTCCATGGAGGCAGCGGGTAGCTTGTATATCGCTCCGAGATTTTGGACCCTGGGGGATGGGGAAAGGGTGGAAGGGGGAGAGCCAATTATCTCACACGCCTTCTCACCCGGGCAAGCGGGTTCGGCGAATTTTGACCGATTTCGATTCTGATGCGATTCGATTTCGGATTACGATTTGGATTTCGATTTCTCATTGGAGGCTTTACCAGCCTGCCGATTTCCAGCGGTTCGACTCTTCCCGACTAGGCTGCCGATTTCCGCCGACCCGATCCATTTCGATCGCCGATCCGACTGTCCATTCGATTCAGGGCTCTCCTGCATGGGCACGCTTGCGCTTCCCCTCGAGCGCCGTCCCCACGAGGTCTGCCGTGGGCGAGTCGCCGGCCGTGTTGCGAGAGGCCCGTGTGCGTGGGTGGGGTCCGCAGACGGGGAGACGACGGCGCGGCAAGTGTCAAGAGGGAAAAAACACACACAGACACAATTAATCGGCGATTCCCAGAAAATATGGGAAAATATGGGAAGTGGGGGGGGGAAGACAAAAAACCCGAAAATATGAGGAAATATGGGGGATCTTTTTATTTGTGTGTATTTATTTGTGTGTCCCAGGGCCCCTTCAAAGTGGAGGATGGAGCGGGGTGCGCACCTCTCCCCTCGCCTGCTTCCCCTGCCCCTCCGAAGGGGTATGGGAGGGGGGGGGCGCTCCAGAAAGAGGCCTCGCCCTCGAGGTATCCAGAGATTGGCATCTCAGGCGGAAGGCCAGCGGAAGTAATGCGAGGGCGTCTTCGCCAGCGGAAGGCGGCGGAAGTAAGTTGTGCCCCCCACAGGGTGTCAACGTTTTTGAGAGAGCGCTTTCTGACGCTGCTGGCATTGGGGTGGGGTCCAAACCCCCCTCCCACCCTACGCCCAAAGCGAGGGCGGGGGGGTCCGGAACTGCCCCCCTCCCAGAAAGTTATTGGGGGGGTTCTAAAGCCCCTCCCTCCCCCGCAAGGCGATGACGACGACGACGACGACAGCGACGGCGACGGCGACGGCGACGGTGACGGCGCCGACAACGATGACGACGACGACAACGACGGCGACGGCGATGGCGACGGCGATGGCGCCGACAACGACGACGACGGCGACGGCGACGGCGATGGCGACGGCGACGGCGGCGGCGACGGCGACGGCGGCGGCGACGGCGACGGCGACGGCGACGGCGGCGACCACGACGGCGACGGTGGCGGCGGCGACGACGGTGGCGATGGTGGACGTGACCCAGTTCAGATCTGGGTCATTGGGTCTGACACGTGATGTATGTGACCTACTTGAGATTCCGGCCTGGCCCGTAGTGGCAACGATTATGACGACGACGGCGAAGACGACGACAGCGACGGCGGCGGCGGTGACGACGTTGGCGGTGGTGGACATACCTAGTTAATTCGGATCTTGGTCTGTCCCGTGGTGGACGTGACCTAATTCAGAGCCCTGTCTGGGCCGTTGTGACGCTGACGACAACGATGACGACGACGTCGTCGACGACGGTGACCGCGACAACGACGACGACGACGACGACGACGGTCACGACGACGGCGACCACGACGGCGGCGACAGCGACCAGTGGTGGGGTTCGTTCCCCCTCCCGCTATTGCGGGGGGGGTCCAGACCGACGGGTTCTGTGGTGTGGGGGGGTCGCCCAGTTTCTGAGATCCCCTCATTGTAGAGTTTGTTCAGGCCAGCGGCTTTGGTTCGCGCTCTCTCACATTTCTGGCTTGAGGGTGTCTGGAACACGTGATATGGTCCAGCACTGGCTCCAGGCGAGGGGGCGGTCTTAGGGCTCGTGTCGGCAGCGTGGAAGCGTATTGTGTGCCAAGGTACACCCTGCGAAATGCTTAAGAAATCATGGGTTAAGAAATTCATAGTCTCAGAATTTCAATAAAACCCAGAATTTCTATCAAAATCTTAGGAATTCAATTGAAAAACATTAAGAATAATCGAGACTCTGGCCGAAAATGTAAGTTTTCTTGAGCATCGCCTGAGGTGTAGAGTGGAATGGAGGGAGCGCGTGTCCAGCCCGGAGGAGATGGAGGAGGATGAGGAGCAGTGATTTGGGAGGGGATGTTGGGAGGAGGGCCAGAGCAAACGCAGGGCGCATAGACAGTCAACCCGCATAGCCAGGACTGGCGGGTTTCTAAGGCTACCGCTGCATCCTCCCCCATTCTGCCCATCCTTGGCCGCTCTCGCTGGCCGCGCCCCGCTCGCAACGTGTCGACGTGGCCGTCCAAGGCCCTGGCATCCTTCTCGTCCGGTCTTTGTTTATACGTGTTGACTGTATACACCTTAGGCGATGCTGAAGAAAACTTAAATTTTCGGCCAGAGTCTCGATTATTCTTAAGGTTTCAATGTAAATCCTAAGATCTGAATGGAAAGGTTGGGTTGTTATTCAAGTTCTGAGACTCTGAATTCCTTAACCCATGATTTCTTAAGCATTTCGCAGGGTGTGTACACCAACTCCCCCTCCTTTTTGAGGAGGAGGCGTCGCACAGGCCTGCCGTTCAGGCGAGAGCGCCGTTCGGAACATGCGATTTTCCCTACATATATATATATATAGCTATCTATATATATATATATATCTTTCCAGCTCTGAGAACTTCACGTTGTGATTCGCCCGCCCTCCATGAGTGTACGATTGGAAACGTTTCACATCAGCGTACCCCAGATTTCGTAATAAAGGGAGGGGGTCTCATTTCGGGGAAGGGGGTCTTTTCCAAGCTATCTTGGAGGGCCTGGGGGAGTTTGGGGACGAAGTTTTGGAGGGTTCTCCCACGGGGGGGGTCTGAAATGGCTTGTCTTGGAGGGTCCAGACCCCCTCCCTTTTATTTCGAATTCTGGAGTACGCGGCGCAAGGACGACAACCATATTTTCAAGAGGGGCCGCCCTCGAGTTTCAAAATGGCCGTACGTGGTGAGGAGGTCTTGGGCGCAACGTCCAACCCGCCCTACCGACACTCCTGGTGGTGCAGCACGATGGAGGAGGAGCTGAGGAAAGGGGGAGGAGGCGGAGGAAGGTGGCGGAGCAGGACGAGGAAGAGGGTGCCGGTGACTGCATACGGGAAGCGAATTCCGAACAGCGCAACGAGGAAAGGGGAAAGGATGGCGAGGAGGAGGAGGAGGAGGAGGAGGAGGAGGAGAGGAGAGATGTGATGAGAATGAGGGGGGACGAGAACGGCAGAGGCCAGATGAGGAAGAGGAGGTGCTGCTACAACGCTGACGTCCTCTTAAGGAGGGTCCGCCCATGTACTGTCCTTTCCCTTGTGCCTCCACCTTGCATGCATGTGTCTCTTCACGCGCACATTCCAAGCTGCTCGGAAGCGAAACGAGGAACATGGCGGCCCTGGTGGGCCCACTTGCGCCGCTTCCTCTCGGATTGGTTTGGGGCTTTGGCTTCCTCGTGCCAGGTGCGTATACTTCTGATGCTGGGGCCGTACAGCAAAGCCACCGTGTCTCGGTCGGCAGCTGGAGCTCCACGATGCAAATGGTCTCCTGCCCGTGGTCCGTTTCTGGATCAAGCGCCCGCAGATGGCCAGGAAAATCGTTGGCTGCGCGGCTGGAGGAGTAGAGCAAGAGACAGCAATGCAGACAATACCACAAGACCACCATTATCCAACGACCCGACGGTTGTTGTTTTGTTTCCGTGCGGGGCCCCCAGAGGTCCCGACCTTTTCCCCCCGGCCATCCTTGCATCCAGACCGCTGTTTTTATGGCGCCAACATCGCAGAGTGGATTTCGTTCGGAAAACAATTGGATGGGCCCGGACTGTCTTGGAGAATTTCGCTCCGGATTTCGAGTGAATTTCGTGTGGATTTTCTTTGGCCAGGAATAAAGACTACAACCGATTCACGGGAAATTCACTCCATTTTTCGCTCGCCGTTTCGGGGTTCTGCATGGGTGGAAAAAATTCACGCGCAAATCCGCTGCGGCCCGTCTGCAAGGTCGGTGCGGTGACTGTTTGACGGTCCCGGGGTCCGGCGAGGGCTTGGCAGGGGCCGAACACGACGAAGGAATTCTGCACTTATCATACATGGGCCGACAACTACGAAGAACCTCCGCATATACATCTATATATATATATATATATATATATATATGTAATGTGTTTTTTGACGCGCTGGAGGTCAGAGTGGGGGACAACAGCCGCAACAGGACAAAGACGGGCGGAGGCCGAGTCCCGCTGGGGGGGGGGAAGGGTTGGTCCAGTAGTTTTTGGAAGCCGCTCGGCGTTTTTGCCGCGTTTTCGCTCTGCAGTGTTTTTTCTCGGGCTTCTGGTGTTCCGTCGCTGTTCTGTGGTTGGTTCCGGCCGCGGCCTCAGTCCCAGGGCAGCTTTTCGAGTGTCGGCGAATTGCTTCGTTTACCGCATTCCTCCTCGGGGCCAGGATGTCTGGCAACGGCAGAAGAGGCCCTGCCGTTGGGGCCCAGGAGGGTCTCCCCCTCGTTTCCATCCCCCTCCTGTTCGAGGGGTCCTCGTCTTCAGCGTCATCCTCGTGCGCCCTTCCCTCATTGCCTTTGTGGGGGGCACTGCCTGCACTCGCTACACTCAGGTTGACCCTCGCCGCCCTCTCACACGCCCGGGGGTGGCCTTCGGCGCCGTCGGCCCCGCGGGCCGGCTCGGCGGCAGGTGGACGCCCGCCTCACGGGGCTCCTGTCCTCCAGGCTGCAGCAGGCCAAGGGCCTCGGCGGCGTCCGGCCCGCCGCGCCCCCCCCCCCCCCCCGGCCCGTCGACCCTCGGCCGAGGCTGGGACGAAGTCGGGCGCGTCCCTCTGCAGGAGGAATCTGCAAGAATGGCGCTCACAGCAGATAGTCTGCGGACGATGTTTCGTGCTCATTTTCAAGCAGTGGCGAAGCGTCCTGGCTCGCCTACAGCCCTACCAAACAATGTTCTGAGAACCTTTTGTGGTTTCCGCGAAATGTCCTTAGAACGCTTCTGCCTGGGACTGTCTTGTTTTATCACATCGGGTTTACGTTCTAAGAACATTGATTCTGTTCTTAGAACACTTTTGGGTTCTTAGAACATGTCGTGGTAGGACTGTAAGAATGCTGGGACGGTCGGTCCCTGCTCAACATTTGACTATTTTAGATGATTGTTTGCGACAACTTTGTTATGTTCTGCCAAACTCCGCCCGTCTGAGGCTGGAACCGTCTGGCATTCATCCAGAACCGTGGCTGAGGTTCAAGCAGTGCTGAGGCGTCCTGGCGCGCGCCTGGGCCCCCTGGCGGCGCCTCTGGCGCTGCCCCTGGCACGCTCCGCGCTCCAGGGAGGGGGGTCCAGCGCAGATCCAAGAACTCCGCGCGGAGCGTCAAAAGTGAATGTTTATGGCGCTGTTTTCCAATTCTATATCGTATATATATATATATATACAGGCCAACCAGCAAATGAACCTTTCTGGCAGAGATCGGGTCGTGGTAATTTATACTGGGCGATTCTGTGTTTTTGTGTTTCGACCGTTTTTCTGTTCCAAACACATTTCGTGTTAGGGCTATACGATGATCGAGCTGGCGGCTGAGGTGTTCGGGGGCTGGCTGAGGGCTGAGGTGGCTGGGGGCAGCCAGGTTGGATCGGGCTGGGGTTTTGAGGTGGCCCAGCACCGTTGTAAAGCAGACAGGCTCGACCACAGAGTGATACTACATCTTCATGTTGCCATATATATATTGACTAGTGGAGTCCACGTGGTCTTACCTAGTCAGGTCTCGTCCCCCCGAGACATCCGACGATATGATGTTTGTTCCATCTGCGGTTCCGAGAGGTCTCGATCTTTTTCTCGGGGACAGTTGCCCGCCCCAGAGCAATTATTGATGGCCCCCGGGCCTGAAACCAGTTACACTCCAGAGCCCGACGCCTAGGAACATCGCTGGGATTCAAACGTCGACGGCGCGCGCTGGGATGCAAAGGCAGAGGAGGCAGGCATGTCGTAAAGGCTGAGAAGGGCTCCGGTCGTCTGAGAAGCTCCTCCCGTGCCTCCCCCAAACGCAGAGACGGCTTCTGAAAAGGCCACAGACGGCTTTCTGAAGTCCCGCCGCCGTCTGGGAGGCCCCTTCCTTGTCACTTCCACCCTCACCACGGTGCCGACGCGTCAACAACGTCCTCAACGCATCCCCGATGCATCGGCGACGCATCGGCAAGGCGGCGCGATATTCCGGCCCCAAGTTTACCCCGACCCCATTTGAGCGACGGGAGAAAACGGGGTCGATAGTGTCGACATTGGCCCGTAAGCTTCTCGCGTAAGGTCGCGCGTCTGCGCCCTCGTTTCCAACGCATCGTGCCACGCGGGCGGCCCGCGTAAGCCACAGCCTAAGGTCGCCCCATGTCATGCCGTGTAAGACTTGTTTTTCTCCGCCCGTGTGGGAGGCCTCCAGAGAAGGCGGGGGCGGGGCTTGCTCTTGCAGGCCTCCCTCCTGGGCTCTCACGCAGGAAGCCTCCGCCCGAAGCCTCGGCTCCCCGGCGCTCCCCCTCCTCTTCCTCCCGGAGCGCTCGCCTTCGCCACAGGCTGGTTGCCAAGTTGCTGCCCGGCAGCGAGGAGGCCCGCTGCGAGGCATCGCCAGGGCGCGGGTGCGGATATGTCTGCCCCGTGTGTCACCCCCGCGTCTCTCCTTCCGTCTCCCTTAGCAAGTCACGGAAGCTTCGATTTGACTTGCATTGAGTGTATACCGACGAATGGCGGGTAACAGCGCGCACCGCGCCCAATTGCGCTCAACGCCCAATGGCTTTCTACGAGACAGAGATTGATGTTCATGCAGCTGTAATTATATGTGTATATATACAGCGAGAGGGGGGAAGAGAGAGAGAGAGAGAGAGAGCAAAAATATACATACATATGCAATATGCATGTTCCGATGCGTGTTCACTCGTGGGGGGAATTGTGGGCCCCATGCAAATCAGATTTGATGCCCCCCCAACAACCGTCTGTTCTCCCGCACGGTGGTTTAGTTGGTAGTTCTGCGGCGGGGGGCGCTCCTTCGGGCCGTGCGCCTTCTGTTGTTCAGAGGTCATGACCAGTCAGTGAGATCCAAACCTGAGGACAAAGGTCGGAAGGGGACCCGCGGTATGTCATCCAGGGTGTTCTATGACGGTTCCATGGCAGTTCCGTCATCCAGGGTGTTCCAGGGTACGTCGTCCAGGGTTTGAGCGCACACCATGCCGAACGGGGAAGTGATGTGCATGATCGTGTTGGACAATTCTACCGAGTGGTGTGCGGCTCATCTCGCCATCATGCCCGAATCATTGACCAGATGCCTTTTGGGACCCTCTGGACAACTATATCTGCTGCCACCCCGCCTCGCACTCCATGTTGGAACGGACAAGTGTTTCTCTTCCCCGCTGTCCTCTTCAGCCCATAGTGGAACAGTGGAACACGAGGAGCATGGCTTCCTCAGCCTTCTGCCCCGTCTGGGAAGAGAATTTACACGTTGAGGTGCGAAGGGGTAGGGGCGGGGAGAGTTTCGGGTCGGGGGTCCGACCTCCCAGCTCGACCTGCTGAAACTTCGGGCCGCGACGACGTCAAACCCTCCAAGACCACCTCTGGCCATCCATCCTGGGATGCCAGGGATTGCTGCCTCGATGGACCTGCTCCCACTTTGGCTCCGTAGGGCCTTACTCGACCTTTGCTACCACCCCCCCTTGGCAGTGCACCTCCCCGGACAAGGTTGTGAGAGGGCAGATTCAGCATCAGCTTTGGCATATCCGTGGTCGAACACTGGCCGAATCCAGGATAGTCCCGCCTAATCTGGCGCACCCCCGCTGAATCCGGCTCAACCTAGCGCGTTCGCGGGCTTAGTTTTGGCGAGGCCGGCTCGGTTGCCCCATGATCGGGCTTACGTAGCCCCTAGTCGTTCTCACGAAGACCTTCCAGGAATTGCTTGCTAACCCCTTGGAGGGCCCATCCGCCCCCCCAGCTCGGGCTAGGCGGCGGCCGTCCGGGTGCTGTCGGCGATGCAGGGGTCGGCCTCCCTGGGCGGCGCCGCTTCCGGCGTCATCTCCATGGGCGGGGCGTCCGTCCAGGTCTCTGTGAACGGAGCGGGTTGGGGGATGGGACGGGGAGCGCGCGCGTTCCGCTGCCAGACATCCGACGATTGGACGTTTTCCATCCGGGCTGGTGTTGCTCGACTTGGGCCCTGCGGGGCTCGTTGTCTGGCCCCGGGGGCCATACATTACCATGTGACGTACCCAACCCACTTTACACATGTGGCGATTCTACTCGGGACCACCCAGTGCTGACTGGCAGTTTGAAGGACCCGCAGCGCGCAAAAAAAAAAGCCCAGCAGCAATTTCAGAAGAGCGCAGCAAGCAAAGGACCTGCAGATGTGCAGAATGGAACACAGGGGCTTTGAAAGAAACGCGCCCAAAAAGTGAACACAAAAGGGCCTCCCAGGAGCCCACGAAAGTGGCCATAGTTGCGCAGATGGCAAAGCCCCCCCGGGGGGTGGCGAGGTCTCGAGGTGGTCCGCGTTGGACGTACTTCCGCTGGGCCTCCCAGGAGCCCACGAGCGTGGCGACAGTTGCGCAGATCGCAAGCCCCCCAGGGGGCCGCGAGGTACCGAGGTGGTCAGCGTTGGACGTACCTCTGCTGGGCCTCCCAGGAGCCCACGAAAGTGGCAACAGTTGCACAGATGGCAAAGCCCCCCCGGGGGGCGGCGAGGTCTCGAGGTGGTCCGCGTTGGACGTACCTCCGCTGGGCCTCCCTGGAGCCCACGAGGGTGGCGACAGTTGCGCAGATCGCACCCAAAGGACACCGCGAGGTCCCGAGGTGATCCGCGTTGGACGTAGCTCCGCTGGGCCTCCCAGGAGCCCACGGAAGTGGCGACAGTTGCGCAGATGGCAAGTCTCCCAAGGGGCGGCGAGGTCTCGAGGTGATCCGCGTTGGACGTGGCTCCGCTGGGCCTCCCAGGAGCCCACGAAAGTGGCGACCGATGTACAGATGGCAGCCCCCAGGGCACCGCGAGGTCTCGAGGTGGTCCGCGTTGGACGTACATCCGCTGGGGCTCCCAGGAGCCCACGAGCGTGGCGACGGTTGCGCAGATCGCAGCCCCCAGGGCACCGCGAGGTCCCGAGGTGATCCGCGTTGGACGTAGCTCCGCTGGGCCTCCCAGGAGCCCACGAAAGTGGCGACGGTTGCGCAGATCGCAGCCCCCAGGGCACCGCGAGGTCTCGAGGTGATCCGCGTTGGACGTACCTTCGCTGGGCCTCCCAGGAGCCCACGAGCGTGGCGACAGTTGCGCAGATCGCAGCCCCCAGGGCACCGCGAGGTCTCGAGGTGATCCGCGTTGGACGTACCTTCGCTGGGCCTCCCAGGAGCCCACGAGCGTGGCGACAGTTTCGCAGATCGCAACCCCCAGGGCACCGCGAGGTCTCGAGGTGGTCAGCGTTGGACGTACCTCTGCTGGGCCTCCAAGGAGCCCACGAACGTGGCCACAGTTGCGCAGATCGCACCCCAAGGGCACCGCGAGGTCTCGAGGTGATCCGCGTTGGACGTACCTCCGCTGGGCCTCCCAGGAGCCCACGAGGGTGGCGACAGTTGCGCAGATCGCAGCCCCCAGGGCACCGCGAGGTCCCGAGGTGATCCGCGTTGGACGCAGCTCCGCTGGGCCTCCCAGGAGCCCACGGAAGTGGCGACAGTTGCGCAGATCGCAGCCCCCAGGGCACCGCGAGGTCTCGAGGTGATCCGCGTTGGACGTACCTCCGCTGGGCCCCCCAGGAGCCCACGAAAGTGGCGACCGATGTACAGATGGCAGCCCCCAGGGCACCGCGAGGTCTCGAGGTGGTCCGCGTTGGACGTACCTCCGCTGGGTCTCCCAGGAGCCCACGAAAGTGGCGATAATTTCGCAGATCGCATCCCCCAGGGCACCGCGAGGTCCCGAGGTGGTCCGTGTTGGACGTAGCTCCGCTGGGCCTGCCAGGAGCCCACGAACGTGGCCACAGTTGCGCAGATCGCAGCCCGACGGTACGAGAGAAGAGGAGAGGGGAACACAGGAAACATGAGAGGAGGAGGGGAGGAGGGGGGCGGAGAAGATGGACGGGGCGACCACACTGCTCTATTCAAAACGAGTACCTAACCATAGGAGGGTTGGAAACAAACACATCCGAGGCGGAAAAACACCCCCAGGGGGGCCGCGGATTGCAAGGATCATTTTGAGGATGTCGGGACTCTGTGCCTGCCAGGGAGCGTCGACTCCATTCGCGGCGTGGGCTGGACATCGGCGGCCGGTTTGCTCACCAGTCCTGGGCCGACGGTGTTCCTCCACCCCTGCTCCTGGCAGAGCGCTCCTCCCTGCCGCGCCTCCAGGCGTGTCGTTCGAGCGGGCCGAGCGTGTCGCCCGAGACCTGCACGCAGCTGGCGAGCCTGAGGCTTTTGAAGTGCTTAGAAGCTGCGCGCACGGAGGCTGGCTTCTTCTCGTGTGTAGATCTCGCATTGGCGCCCCGCACGCTCGTCTTAAACGAGGCCGGCGGTTACGTGGTTGCACGGTGATGTGTTTTCAACACCGGGTTCCCGCGCGAGGTACCCCCGATATCTGTTGCCGCAGCACTAGAGATTCTGCAACGGTCAAACTTCTGGAGGGCAGCCTCTTTGCAGCAAGGGGCTCTCATGTGGGACGTCTCCGGAATTTTGTGGCCAGAAGCCTAACAGTGCGCAACAGCTCCAGGGCTGGAGGGTGGTCTCTTTTCAATTTGGGGTTATCGTTGGGCACCTGCTCGAACCTTGTGACACTACATCGTCGCAATATTTATAGCTTGAAGGATCGGCGGCATTTTTACAAAGGAGCCTGAACTGAATTGGGGCCTTCCGCGCAGTCAAACGCACTTCTTGTACAGGGGCTCAAGAGGAGGGCATGTGGGATCGGAGAGCACGTTGCAGCACCATTGTTTCATCTTGGGGTTCCTCTGGTCGTTTTCCCCCTCGTTCCATTTCCTCCTCCCTCCTTCACCCGCCCCTCCTCCCCCTCCCTGTCCCTCCTCCGCGGGGACCGTTCGCAAGAACTTGCCCGCGGGAAGGGCCCTCAAGGCAGTGATGAGGCGATTGCGACAATCGATGAGAGCAGTGCGTCGGGCTGCGACGAAGAAGAGAGAGAAGGGTGAGCGGGTGGGGAAGGGGTTTCGGCACGGCTGTGGCCACGCTCAGCTAGCCACATCTGCCCACAGGTTCTAGTTGTCAAGGTCGGATTCCGTCGAAAAGGGTACATATCGTGCATATGTAAAACACGTATATATACACATTTATATGTGCGCAACCATGGCCCCCCTTGAACTGGAAGCGTGTCGACGCTTGATCGGTAGGCTGACTGTTTTTTGTCGGTTGGTTGGCTGGTAATTCGGATGAGTGGCTTGTGGCTTAATATTGGAGGTCGCAGTTGATTTGGGATGTTTGCGTGCGGGCTGGTTGCGCGCGTCTCTTGTAACTAAGTGGACATGGTGGTCTCGAGGAAACGTTTCCATTGAAGTTAAGAGGGTTCGCGGCTTCGGGAGCGCGCCCCCTCAGCTGTGTTCGGGGAATCCGTGGCCTCGGGTTCAGAACCGAATTTTCAGGAAGCACCATGGAAAGCCGCTCAGCGATCCCCGAGCATAACCCCAATACCGAAAATTACAATGTCCTGCTTTGGAGAGGGCGTGGTGCCTTTGGGCATCCTCCGGGGGGAGTGGATTCGTGGTCTCGTGGACGCTAACGCGTAGTGGTTTGCAAGGGATTGTGGCCTCGGGGTGTTTGTGGCCTCGTTTGCGCGAATATGTTGTTATTTACTCAGAGTTGTGGCTTCGGGATCGCGAATGCGCAGTACTTTAAAGAGGTTGCGGCCTCGTGAGCGCGAACCCGTTCTAATCTACATGTGAGTGTGGTATTGGGGGCGCTGTAATTCATAATGAGGTGTTGTTCGGTGGCGCGAAGCTATTGAAGATTATCAGGGGTTATGGAATCGGGGACGATTGATTGAAGGAGTTTGCCAGGGAGTCCGGCCTCAGGGGCGCGAGTCTGTTCTATGTAACGCGTCCATTGGCCCAGAGCCGACTTCTCAGGAAACGACTGGGGACCCGAGAAGCGCTCCCCGAACGCATGCCCCAATCTGGAAAGCGTCAGGTTTCTGCTCTGGAAAGAAGGATGGCGCT